AGCGAGGGCTGCGATTACTAGTATGCCTGCGACAGCCCCAAGGACAGTGCGAGAATCGACCGATGTAACGGCGCTGGAGAGATGCTTTGGGTCGGAGTTGACGCTGCGGGGTTCGACGTTCGATGGGTCGGTATCTGGGACGCACTCGTCGGAGTAGCAGTGGAAGAGCTCGATGAAGCTAGTTTCTGCAGACCCTGGCTATAAACACCCTCCTCTCAGCCCAATACAAGCGTGTCTGAGAAGTACCACGCACGTGAACACGATCCCATCGAAGTTGATCAGGCTGTCCAACCCCGCCGAGACGAGCGTTAGCGTGTGTTGCCCACCAGTCGTGAGCACCTGCTGATACCCCAACACACGCTCCGTGCCGCAGTGCTCGCATTCCCCGTGTACGTGCCCACTTGGTTGCCGTCGATTAGGATGTTGCACGAGACCGCATCTTGGTTCCAAAGTACACGTACACCGCGCCGCCTGGAGGTTGTCAAAGGTTATCACGGTTGCAGACGCAGGCGCACCGACGAAAGGCACCGTGATCTTCCCATCTATTACCTTCATCGTCCCGTTTATAAGCTGCGACCAGTCGTACCCCGTCGCCGTCGTGAATCCGCCCTGACCAGCAGTATGGCATACAGAGCCCGTATTATCTTCCGACGGACATAAAACGTCCAGGCCAGAGCGGTCGCCCGCGAGTTGGTTGTCGTAAACGACTACCGGGTCGGCGTCGTCAATCGTGTGGTTCGTCGGTACGGCATGAGTCGTCGGGACAAGAGATGCAAGAAAGATGGAGAAGAAGAAGAAGATAAAGATAAAGTGAGAGCCGAGGGAAAGAAACGGCCAGCGAAAGAGAGAAGAGAAACCAAGAACATGAGCGGAGAGGAAGAGTGGCAGTGCAGATATTAATCAGGAACATCTCAGCCTATCTCAGCGCGCTGGTTCGATCCCATGGGAACGTGATCCGCACGTGTGGCGTGAAGTGTGATACTCAGTTCGTTTCAGGCGGACTGGAAGCTGGGGAGGCGGATCCGTAGGAAAAGGACGATTCGTCGCAGTCACGTTGAAGCGAAAGTATGGCGCTGATCGGACATCACCTGAGACCGGCCATCAGTGTCAATCACCTTTTGTCATCTGATCTCTCTACAAACGTGAGCACTACGACTACCAAGTATATCGCAGCTCACTCACAAGTACGATTCAGGACGCAGACATGACACGCTTCTCCTCTGTTCGTTCACTTCACTCGGTCTTCTTACGTTCTGTTTGCCCTTCCAAGAGCACTCGCAGCGACGTCCCAAAGTGTACATGTGACGTGCGAATTGCGCCATGCCAATTTGAAGCTTCTCCAGCGCCGTCATAAGACTGCTTCGCTCTCACCCTCACCCTCACCCCATCCGCGCGTCCCATGGTCCTGAAGCTGTACTCGGGCACGCCGACCGTCGGCGGCGCGTCGCTCGTCGCGATCACCCTCATCGAGAAACAAGTCCCGTTCGAACACGTGCTCGTCGACCTGACCCTGAAGCAGCAAAAGCTCCCGGAGCACATCGCGCGGCATCCCTTTGGCCAGGTGCCCGTCATCGTGCGTCCTTGGCCCGCCCCCTCTTCATCCTCTGTATCTTCGCTAGGACGACGACGGATTCATCTTGTACGAGGGCCGCGCGATCTGCCGCTACCTGGCGGACAAGTACGCGGCACAGGGCACGCCAGGACTCATTCCGCCTGCGTCGGACTTTCAGGCGCGCGGGCGGTTCGAGGCGGGCGCGTCCTTTGAGGTGTTCAATTTCTATCCGCATATGAAGGCTATTTGGGCGGAGATCATCCCGAAGCAGTCAGTGCCTGGATCCTCAGCGTCGTATTCGTTCCACTAATCACCTGCCATCTTATCTCTCCAGCAATGAAGGTCTGCCAATCGACCAAGCAGGACTCGATGCTGCGCTTGCTGCCCTGAATGCGCGACTGGATGTGTACGAGGTTATACTAGGGCAGCAGCAATACATCGCCGGTGATGTGCGTCGCATCCTCCGCCCATCCGTGCTCGTCCTGATCAGTCTGACCAGACATTCACCGTCGCTGATATCCTCCACCTGATGCACGCACCGACGCTTTTGAAGCGAACTGGCATAGATGTGGTCACAAGTGAGGAGAGGCCTAATGTAACGCGGTGGTGGAGAGACATCACAGGACGGCCATCGGTGCGGGAGGTGATAGATAACGGCGTCATCAAAAGCAGACTGAGCGTTCCGTAGAATTTGGATCAGGCAATCAGGCACTTCGAGTGCTCAGCCCACTATATCAGACTATAGACATGAGTTTCACTCTTGTACAACGCAAATAGATCTTTCAAAACCCAGGCGCTTCTCTTTCATCACAACCCGGGGCGTGATCGAACACTCAAACGGCTTCAGTCCCCTGCGCACCAATCAGCATCAGCACCCTCTATCAAAGGCCGCACACTCACGCCAGCACTCCAAGATCATACTCCAACACGGGTTCGACGACCTGCCCATCCGGCGCGACCTTCTTCGCGATATCGAACGTGGCAAGCATGCACGCGGTCGCGAGCCACACGGACGTCTCGGCGAGGTGTCGGCCCGGACACACACGTCGGCCGAATCCAAAGGGCAGACCAGCGGGGTCGTCCATGGCCGGGTTCAGGCGCGTGCCGTCAGGGGTGAGCCAGCGTTCGGGTTTGTACGCGTCGGGGTTGGGGTAATCATTCTATCCAGATCGGTCGAGGTTCATTGAGTATGGATGGTGAGTTTTGGGGTCTTACTGGATCGTGCAGAATTGCCCTTGATTTAACCCGTCGTTAACGAGTCGCCTGCGGAGAAGGAGGAACACGAGACGGACCAGATGTTGCTAACGATGATGGCCCCCGCGGGGATTCTATACCCGCCGTACTCGTCGTCCTCCGGGCCCAAAGCATGCGGCATACCTAAGCACAAAATGCATGATGAGTGATCCACTGCGGGGCGTTGGCTGGGTCATGTACCCATCGGCGCCGGCGGCCTCCACCGCAGAATCTCCCTCACACAAGCCGACACCCACGGCAGGTCCGCCTGATCGCCGAGCGTGGGCAGCCGCGCGGTCCCAACCACGGCATCCAGTTCCGCCTGCGCACGTTTCTGGATTTCCGGATGCAGCACCATCGCCGCGATGACCCACGACAGCGCCACGACGGTCGTGTCGGAGCCCGCGATGTACATCGTCGCACAGGTACCCCGTGCGATGCCTTCGAGGTACTGAGCCTGCTCACCGGCGGTGGTGGACTCGGCGATCCGGGACAGCGCCGACGCCAAGAGGTTGGCTGAGTATCCCGCCGTGCCGGAATCCTGTGTATATGACGTCATATGAACCCAATGTATCTGCATGTAGCACACACCATGCGGCGCTTTGCCTCGTCGAACGGCTTGTCTGTCAGGATCGGGAGGTGCTCGTGCCATTCTTGTGCCCGGCGTTTGAATCGCGCACCAGGCATCCATGCTGGGATGTACCGTAGGATCGGCAGGGTATCCTGCACGATGTTTTACGTAAACGGAAGCCAGATGGGCACGGGAACTCCACGTACCACAAGGTAAGCGCCGGGCACCGAGGCACGGGTGAGGATCTGCACACCGCGCTGGGCGTCCAGGACATACGGGTCGCTTTCCGGCTGGATATCGATGCCATACGTCACATTCATGATAATCTGCCCCGCCATGCTGTACATTCAATCAGATTGCAGCAGAGTCTGAGCAGATGCAGTGCGCGGGCTGACTGGCGCAGATGTTTCATGAAATCTTCCGGCTTTTCCCGGATGCGTGAGAGCAGGGCGTGTACTGCGGTATCGAGATGCGGCGTGAACTGGGCCAGAGATTGGGCATGGAAGGTGTCGTTTGAAAACCGCCGGTGGATGCGCCTAAGAACGTGTGAAGGCTGATCAGCTTGGGAGAATGAAGGAGCTCACCAAGCATCGCCTGTTCAGGAAAATGTCAGATCGAGCTTCAACAACCAGGGACTCACGCACCGTAGTCGATTGCAGCTGCACGCATTGAGTACCACTTCAACAAACGAACTCGTGCTCACCAAAAAAGAAGTTCCACCCCATCACCTCAAGGATCATCGGGAACCTTGGTCTGGGAGTGGGAAGCATCTCTCTATCAAGTTCGAACCCACTCTCAACACACGGCACCCACCTGTGGGAATACTTCGCAGAGCGCTTCTCTAGCAGCTCCACCGCAGCCCGGCGGGAGCTAACCAGGATGGTCGACTGCCCAAACGTCTTGAGGTGCACGATGTCCGACTCTGCTGCCATTATGGGTCGCCACAGAAGAGTAAGAACACAACGCACCGAATCGCTCCGCCAGCTGGGTCATACCCACCCACAAGAAATCCGGCGAGAGGTCGAACAGATTCCCCAGCAGCGGGAGTGGTTTGGGGCCGGGCGGAAGCGGAAGACGCCTCGAACGCTGAAAAGGGTAGGCGTAGTTACAGTACGACAGGTAGAGCGCGGCACCGCCCAATGCTAAGGCTAGGGCGGTTGTCGCCGCGGGAAGATGGTAAAGTAAGCGTTCCATGGATGGGGATGGGCCAGATCTAGACGCGCTGGGTCAGAGTTGATATATGCTTGAGCTCTGTGAGAAACTTATTGTGCCAGATGGCCCGAAAGTGATTTCGAACGGTCATCGATTATGGCAGGCCCCCGGTGGGTAAAAAGATGAACGCTGGAAGCTCCCTGACTATGTAACGCATCAGGACATGCTCGTACGATTCCAGAGCTTCGATGAGTTCCGTGCCAAAGGAGTAAGTGACCGTCCGGATTCGAATAAATGCTTGGGGATGGGATGAATCTTCGAAGGAGGGAAGAACGAACTTTAGATGTCCCACATCTATTTATGAAACCAGGACAGTCACGAGAATTTGACAGAAAGTCACATGTTAAGCAAGCAAGAGGCCCACAGAGCCGAACACATCCGGCGGCATCAATTAGTTGTGAGTTTCCGAGACGAACACTTTTTTTTTGAATCCGCATTTGTATTCGGCAAGAAAGTAACTATCTGCTCAGACGCGGTGCCCAAGGGCAGCATGTAATTGAGGGTGAATCGTGCTTCTTCGACCGTTGTGGGTGGGACGATCCGTATCGAAGACTCAGGCCATAACACTCATTCATGTGATCATGGATTTAACACGTGGTTTGTGGCAATGCATGCGTGCCAAAAACGCGGAGGTGGCTCTACGCGGAATGATATTACATTGACTTGGCATCATCCTGTAAACAACTCGCATGCCCCGAATAGCGAAAGAGCCTGGTAGAAAGAGTACAGAGCACTATAAAACAGCCAATGGGATGGAGAACGATTATATCCACTCAAGTGCCCCCGGTTTTGTTGTCCGCATAGAGCTGCGGAGTGGATCCCGTAGACGCATAGCTGTACGCCGGCGGCCTGGTGTCGTATCCAGTCGCAGAGCCACCTAAGCAAAGTTCGTCAACTAACCATACCAACAACACAATGCAGACGCACTGGCACCATTCTGGCCCGGCGCTGCGACACCGCTCCCGCCCCACCCGAGCTGCCGGAAGGCATCGTTCACCATCGCCTGTCCGTTGCGCGCGACGTCGTGGTGCTTCTGCTCGCCTTTGTTCTCCCAGTCGTCGATCGCGCCGAGGATCGCGCCGCGGAACGAGTCCCCGTAGCCTTCAGACAACGTTCGGGGGTCAGCATCGGGAGCCATTCGATCAGAGGCCTGAGGCACCTTGAGCGAGTTGGAAGACGCTCCTGGAAGTAGAGTTTCAAACTGTGCGATGGTGTAGGGATGCAGTGGAGGAGCGCACCTGACGGTGTCCATGGTGTTACCGACACCAGAGCTGGATGTTCCGAAGTCAGGCGTCGGACGCGTTGACGTGTTCACTCGTGGAGGACGGTTTCCCGCGATGAGCTTGCTGTTCTCGTTCATGGTAAATGCGAGAAGTGGTGATAGAGATGGTTGTGCAGGGCTGTGCAGTGTGTTGTCCATGACGTAAGGCCTGTGGTGCTCAAATCACGTGCAGTGTCAAGTCCCAATTAGCAGTTTAGGTTGTGTCCCTGAAACTGCGAGCCTGAAAATACAATGTTTTTTTGGTTTACAGAAACTCATTACGATACATTACTAGCAAGTTCTGCTCGGCTAATGCTTTCTCTGGATCACATTCCCGGCTTCCACGAGCAGAAGTAAAACATGCAAGTCTTGGCTGTAGATTGATGAGATGTGAGGAGATTCATATCACTCGACTGGAGAAAAAAAAATTGTGGGTCCAGTCGGCATCAACTCAATCCGCAAGTTATCTGTGAAATAGCGACACTGGTCAAAATCGAGCGGGCCGCATACTCCGGTGGCTGTGTCTTCCTCCGGCCGAGCTCGGCAAAAAGAAAACCGACGGGGGAGTCAGAAGTGACGTCGCGGACGTCCAGCACCTTCGTTGTCTCTCCCTCCTCTCCCCACCCTTCCACTGCATGGGCACATCGACGGTCTCCTCTCAGACCGATGCCCCACCCGCCGAACGCCCCCTCTGGCGCTCCGTGTTGCTCGTGGGCGTCTGCACGCTCGCCATGATCACGAATGTGCGGGGCGGGTTTTACGTCGATTAAGCTTCCCATTGACTACCGCGCTTCTGCAGCTCGCGTCCTCGACGGCGGTGTCGGTGTTCATACCCGTGATAGCAAGGGATCTACAGATCGCGGAGAGCCAGCTACAGTGGCTCGTGTCGGCGTTCTCGCTCTCGTCGGTACGTGGTAAACCTTCATCTCTGGTCTCCTCCTTCCTCTGCGGACGCCGCCTCTTCTGCTTCTTCCCTTCCCTTTCCCTTCCTTCCTTTCCATTCCTTCCCTGATACTCACTTACCTCGACTCTCCAGGGCTGCTTCCTCCTCCTGCTAGGCCGCATCGCCGACCTCTACGGCCGCAAGAAGCTCTATGTCGCGGGCACGCTCTACCTTGGCCTTCTCTCGCTCGGGTGCGGATTTGGGAAGTCGGCGACGGTGCTGTACGTCCTACGCGGACTCCAGGGGCTCGGTCCTGCGGCGTTCGTTCCCGCCTGTGTGCGTCTCCACCCTCTCGCCCCTCAGTTTATAAATCCATTTTAATCCACGTCCTACCCAGCTGGGTATCCTGGCTCACGCGTTCCCTCCCTCGCGCGCACGCGCAATCGCATTCGCGACGTTCTCGGCCGGGGCACCGATCGGGGGTGCGCTGGGAACCCAGATTGGCGCGCTGCTCACGCAGTATACAGAGTGCGCGTTCTCTCTACTCCACACACCACAATGCTTTTAGCTAATCCCTCTGTAGAGCCTCTTGGCGTTCCCCTTTCTATCTCATCGCCGGGCTCGGAGTGCTCTGCGCCGTCGGCGGCGTGCTAATCATCGATCCAGACGTTCCCAGCACCGAGGCCGATCGGCGGGTTGATTGGCTGGGTGGGTTCCTTGTCACTGCCGGATTGGTCTTGCTCGTATTCGTGCTCGGACAAGGCTCTATCGCCACCGATGGGTGGCGGACCGGCTGTACGTGTCTGCTGCTTTTGATTTGTCCCTGATGAGGGCTGACAATAGTTTTTTTTGTGGGCCGCAGACATCATCGCGCTACTGGTGGTCAGCCTCGTGCTCATTGGGTTGTTTATTGCATGGCAGCACTACCTTGAGAAGAATGCTGCGACACAGCGTCCCCCGCTGATGAAGCTCTCGATGTGGAAGCGGGCCGATGGCAAATTTGCAGCGATGCAGGTGATCGCGTTCTTCCAGTGGGCGGCATTTTTGTCTTGGTTCTTCTGGGCGCAGGTGTGTTTCATTTCCTTGCAGTAGATTCTTTTTTGATTTTCGCGGTGCCCATCGGCCAGGTCTACTACGAGGACTACATGAAACTAAGCCCCATCCTTACTGCTATCCGAATGCTGCCGATGACCATTACCGGCGCCCTGTGCAACTTGTTCGTCGTGCTGGTCATTGCCCGCATGCCGCTTGTCGTTCTCATATGTGCGTGCTCAATCCCCTGAAATTCATCTCGTCATCCAACACTTATACCCCAATAGGCACCGGTACACTAGTCACCGGCATCGCGTCGCTGTTATTCGCGCTCATAGACCCCGCTGCGCCGTACTGGGCGTTCGGTTTCCCCGCCACGATCACCGCCGTATTCGGTGCTGACTTTGTCTTCGCGGCAGGCACGATCTTTGTCGCCAAGGTATCCTTGCCACACGAACAAAGTCTCGCAGGCGGGCTGTTTCAGACTCTGACCCAGGTGCGCTCTCACCGTCTCCCGTGCTCAAGCTCCGGCGCTTAACACTCGCGGCAGCTCGGTACCGCGTTCGGTCTGGCCATCTCTACGATCGCGTTCGATGCTATTGCACCTGTGGGTGGAGGTCCTCCACCGATCAAAGCATATCGGGTGGCTCAGTGGACCGCTTTTGGCATGGCTATGCTCTGTAGGTGATCCTAGTTCGCTCGGTATCTCGTAGCTAACTGGGCACAGGCACTGTGATCGGTGCTGTCTTCCTCAGGGGCGTAGGGCCAGTGGGTGCCCCGGATCCGGTCGTAAAACAAACCGAGCCGGACGACGGTGCGCCTGTAGAGACGGAAAAAATAGAAGTTTATTCCTAATGACTTACCGAACGGCTAAACGCCTGAGCACCATGTCATCTCGAGCCGTGAGAGAATGGGCACGAGAGGCAGATTCCCGTCGCCCTGGCTATTGTGGGAGAGCGAAGTACCGGGAATAGTGACATGATCCGGCTAAATGTACTCCTCTGTATGGAGGCTCGGAAGGCCCTGCTCACAACCGAGACAGTTGACGTTGATAGGCGATGTAAGGACCCCATGCGCACGATGACATGCTCCTTTTACGTACATTTTCAAATGTTAATTCTAACGCACATCGGGTTTAAGCCCTGGATTTTTGTCCAACCCGTATGGTGCGGTCGACTTAGAGACCACTACTTGGGAAAAGACTGCCAAATCAGCCGGAGGAGATTTCTTTCTATATATCCCGTTTTCTAGCCTGAAATGATGCTGAATGTGAGAATTGAGGATAAAGGCACATAACACGTCACTCATCTGCTAACAAAAGCACAAAGCGCTGCCGCTGCTTGTGCTCGGGCAAAGCGACATCCACAGGCTCGCCAACCAGCAACAATAATTGATCACACACCGTCTCAAGATCACGAACACAGGATGATCATTGATTTGGTGGACGGACACATATCGGAAGGGATTGGAGATGCAGCTGACACAACTCGAGGTTTGGAAGTTAGTTTGCAGGTACACAAATTGCATCATCGCATCCCAGAGACCATAGTTCAGGCTTCTGACTAGTATAATATTCATAGTTGACGGGCCTGCCGGTTTTGCCCTACCTGGAAATTTCTACTCTCTCAGGGATTTATTTTGGGCTTATCCCTCTAGCCATTCTCTTCCTCTCATGAAAAGGAAGCGACTGGAAAGAGGAAAATATTCATCGTTAAAACTAGTGTACTATTACAACCCAAACCTAACTGTCGGTCATTGGTCACCAGGACCCAAAATCCGGTTTTTTGATGTGCTTAAAATTCACCTTACCTCAAAACTAAATGAACCGCGCCATACCTGACCTCCAATCAGCGAATGATTTACAAATGATTTTACACAAACTACTCTAAATCTAGTCCGGAATTGAACGAGTGTCTCGATTGGAGCACCGATCAACAAAAATTGATCTATTTGGGTAATTCGGGGTCAGACCAGACCGGACTGGGGCTAATTTTTGTAACCCTGTGACTTTTATATTGCCGAATGGAGCCGCAATTTTTGTCTAACACCCGACTCATTTGGGCTAATCCCTCCCCGCCAAAAATTGTCCAACAGGGGGCTAACACTTAGTGGGAATTTTACAGGTCCTATAATCACCCAACTGTAACTGAGAAGTCACTACGCGCATCTTCAACAGGGCCTAGCTACTTATGTACGTACACAAAGTCTGGGGTCTTAGATCACTTGCCATCAATGTCAACTGTCTCGGTTGTGAGCAGGGCCTTCCGAGCCTCCATACCTCTGGGGTTTTACGGGTAAGCACGGGCACTCTGGGATGAGCGAACGATGTGATGGAAACCATTCTCGCGCGCCGCATTGCATCCGCTGCATGCGTTCCGCTGTTGAACGCACCGAAATAGCTGTCGGACCGGTTGCACACCCACGATTGCAGCAATCACGTTCTTACGGTAGAAGACATGCTGGCCCGGCGTTGGGATCCCGCGTTCTCGCTCCAGAACAGACTATTTCCTGGCCATTCCACGCAGCTTCAAAATGAGATTTCAATGTGAAGGGTTGAATAAGGAGTCTCTGTTTGTGCTCATGATACGAAAACTCTGAAATCGGTGTGCTGTTGAGTAGGTAGGGGCCAGTCCAGGTGTTCATTTAGGCGGATCCGGACCGGCTGGGTTGAACAGTAGCAACCGGGGGCCTGTAGAACTCTTTTCAATCACCCAAGGCCAGGGTGCCACCCTTGCTCAAACACTGTCGCTTCGCCAGAGCATGTACGGATAAATGGCGCGCATGATGGAACAGCTTCGGCGACGGATGAAGGCGGAGTCTTCTTTGATATACTCCGCGCAGACCGCAGAACCCGAATACGACGCGTGCTCCCACGACTGACACAACGAGAGGACTCGTCTGAAACGGCCAGATTTTGCCGACGAGGTCCGGTTCATTCCACGAACCCACGATCTTGGTGCAGGACAAAAAAAAAGATGAGAAACACATAGGCCTTTCTTGGTCTCTCCCTGCCGGCACCCGGGATTGAAAACCAAACTCTTTGCATCTGCACAGAGCACCGGAGGCTCTGCTTCATCCGAGAGATCAACGACTCAGGCTAGTCTTACGCAGCATTGCTTAGAATGGCAGAAGGCCTCCGCCTCCGGGTCGCACAATTCTACCGAACACGAGAGGGTGTTTATTAATTCTCGGCATTCCGAACTGCCCAAATCAGTCAAGAACGGGGAAATTGGGCTCTAAATTAGCCATCACCTGTCAAGAATCTCTTTTTAGACCCCACAGTCTCTACCGCTCCATTGGACATGAACAAAACGCACATGTGGTGAAAGAACTTCGGGCTGAAGAGAAGTCGAGTCCTCAGTGTGGTTGGATCCTTCAGGATGTTCTTTCTTCAGGATATTCGCGCCGTACACCGCCGAATCCCGACGGCAAAGATGGTTCTTTCTAGGTCAAACTGACAAAGTCAAATCTGCTGAAATTCACTTGATATTTAAACAGCTTTGAAGTAATATCTGCTCCATCTTGCTTTCCCAAATGGCTGCCATCTCCCATATCTCAGAGCTGCCTGGCTCGTTCCCAGCGCTCGAGTCCATCTCTACTTTCGAAACGGCAGAAGCACTCACCGTTGCCCGATCTTTAGCTCCCACCATCACCGACATTCTCTCCAATCCGACTACGGAGGCAATCAGGGAGATTTTCCTTCCAGACGCGTTCTGGCGCGACCAAGTCTCGATTTCATGGTCCTTGCGCACCTTCTATCCAACCACGTGAGTCGTTGGGATCGCCTTCCGTGATTTCTCATTCATCGGCAGTGCAATCGCACAGAATATCGTCCCACTTCTCCAGCGCGCAGACATCGACACGTGCTCAATCAAGTTGCTGGAAGAGCAGGTGCTCCCAGTCGACCTGCCCAATGGAGTCTCCCTCGTCCGTATTCCATTCACATTCAAGACTCGCAGGCCCGGGGCGGACGCCACTGCTGTTTTCAAAGTCGTGCGCGGGAAAACAGGCGCGATTAAAATATTCACAGTGACGACCGCGCTGCAAGCTATAGATGCGGTTCCATGGCGCACTGACTTCCCACCCTCAATGGTTCCGCCTGAGCTTCCTCAGACACTGCCGAGCACAGTGGATGTTCTCGTCATTGGTGGCGGGTGCGCCCATGTGTGCGCTGCTCTTGGTTGGAAGTCTCACATGTTGTTCAAGGCATGGTGGATTGAGCGTGTCGGCGTACTTGAAAGCCCTGGGCGCAAACTTCGCCACGATAGAGAAGCTGGGAACAATTGGGGACAGTTGGTCTAAAGTGTGTCTATTTGTTACGACGACTCCAACCTTTTGTTCTCATAACCGGACGGCCAGCGATACGAAAGCGCTACTCTCCACACGATCCGCCTGTATTGCGGCCTCCCTTTCGTTCCGTTTCCGGATGATTATCCTGAATACGTCCCTGCCAAGCTGATAGCGGCCTATTACGAAAAGTATGCTCGCGATCTCCAGCTTCCGGTCTTTACTTCCCGCAATTGCGTTCAAGCCGCATTTGACAATGATGATGAGCTCTGGACGGTCAAAATTGAGGGCCCGAACGGGATTGAGATGATCAGGGCGCGAAGTTTGATATTCTCCATCGGAGTCGGTGGCCGACGGCCGACGCTGCCCAACATCCCAGGTCGGGTGCGTCTTGCAGAGCCAACTGTGATGTTTCCACCTCTGATCCAGCGCTCCCCGCAGGAATCATTTGCAGGTGAGTGGATGCACTCGGCGTCATACACGGATGCGTCGGGCTGGGGCGGCATGCGCGTGGCCGTCATTGGCGCCAGCACGACTGGCTGCGACGTCTCGCACGATGCGTCTCGTGCTGGAGCCGACATCACAATGATCCAACGAAGCGCCACGCGGATATACCCTCAATCGCACATCGCCGGGGTGCTGGGTCGCTTGTGGAACAAGCAGAATGGTCCGGAGTTGGCGGATGTCCTCTCGACGGAGGATCCTATCATTCTGCAGGCGACGCTGAATCAGTTGATGCTCGGTCGGTTCCGGGATGCGCATGAGTGCGTGCTGTGTCCCTACATACGCCCCGCCCCCACTTCTGACTTTTAGCCCCGCATACTACGACAACCTTCGCAAGGCGGGGTTTTTGATGAAGCTCGACGGGCCGGTCCATCAGGTTCTCCATACTTCCGCAATGTGGAAGATCCTGCTGAAATCGCCGACAGCAAATTTTCGTCCAAGGCGGCGGACATTACCCAGATGTGAGCAAGCCACGGATGCGATACAAAATTGTTCATGAATTGCAGATTGGAGCCTGTGAAGCTATCATCAACGGTGAAGTAGGTGTCCGTCCTGTCCCTCGTGAGGATGTTGAGTCACCGTCGCCAGATCAAAATCAAGTCCGACACGACCATCACCGAGGTCACATCGTCCGGGCTCGTCTTCTCAGATGGATCAAAACTTGACGTGGATGTCATTGTTTATTGCACGGGCTTCGAGAAAGATATGCGCGGGGCCATCTCCGATATCGTGCAGAAGGACTTGGTCAGCAGTCTGGAACCCGTCTGGGGTCTGGATGTATTATGCACGTCTCTTGAAAATAGACCAGATACTGATTCTCAGAGCAGGCTGAAGGTGAAGCTCGCGGAGTCTGGCGGCCGACCGGAAACGACAAGTTGTGGATTCATGGCGGAGAATTGCAGACAATGCGGTATTACGGACGAGTCAGTTTGCCGCCTCAGATTTGACCTTGCAGTGCTTACTGTTACCTTAGTTTTTAGCCCTTCAAGTCGTAGCCGAGCTGGCTGGCGTGCGACCGACTCCAGCAAGACGCGCTGAGCTCGTGTAAGAGGTACGAGAGATCAAAAGATTGATGCAATAGACATAGACCTGCTACAAATATGTTTATTTCGGAGTGAGAAGCTGAACCTCGGATTTCGAATCCAAGTTCGCAGAGGTCGAGTTCGACCGAGTTGTCCCAGATCAGTCACATCATGATGACACCACGGACTTCTGCTGGGTTGCCGGCCGCTCCGGCCGATATCGGGCCGATCCTGGCGTTCAACCCCACACGCAATATTCTGCAATATCAGGCACCGACAGAGTCGGGGACCTGGACAAGTCATGCCATCCCAACTATTCGTTGATCTAGCAATCTGTGGCATGTCCTTCTTGATTGTAATTTCTTGTTTTCGAGGCGAACTCGGGAACTTCTTAAGCTTGTCACCAGCCAGCACGTGATTGTTCACTTTCCCCTTTCCCAGACCATTCGATCTCAGCATACGGAATTGGTTAAAGAGATGTGCGGTAAATTCCAGAAAGGATCGAAAACATTTTTCTCGATGAATGGTCTCTGAGCGAGTGAACTTCAAAGTTCAACTAAATATCACGTGACCGATGTATTGTCTGGAATTACTTCTCGTCTTCATCATCCGGATAAAGCTGAAATGCAATGAAGCATCTTCGACTCGAAAATCTATATACACGCACCTTGCCAGGGTTCATGATGCCGAGCGGATCGACAGTGCGTTTAACCGCTTTCATGAGACCCACCGTCCCAGCCCCGAGCTCCTTGACCAGATACTCGCGTTTACCAACGCCAACGCCGTGCTCACCGGTACCTGAGTCCGAAAAGTTAGCATTAGCAACACACTCGGTGTCGATGACTGAAGAACGCACAAGTGCCCTCCAGCTCAATCGCTCTATCCACCATTTGATGCACAGCCTCCTCGACTTGCCGCCGCTCGGCATCATCCCGGAACAGGATCTGCGCGTGGAAGTTCCCGTCGCCGACATGCCCTACGATCGTATACGGCAGCCCGCGCGCCTCCAGATCGCGTTTCGTGTCGAGCACGAGCGCGGGCAGGTTCGACACTGGCACACTAATGCACGGACTCAACCGTCGACACACTTACAGGCACGAACAAGCACCGTACGCACCAGACATCCGTGGCCCATCCACGGGCGCCGGGGACGAGCGCCATGCCGATGTGGTGCGCGTTCTTGCGGTCCTGCCAGATATCCGCCGCCTCGGCGTCGCTGCGGGCCGCGCGGAAGCCCGTGCCGCCGTGCTTGTCGCAGATCTGGCGCACGACGCGGATCGTGTCCGGAATCGCAGACTTGGAGGAGGCCTGGAACTTGAGGAACAGGCCGTCGGAGACGGCGTATTGGAACCGGGAGGAGCCTGGCCAGGCGGTGAGTGCAAGGAGGAAGACGACGGAAGTGACTCACCATATTTGTTGGTGGCGGCCAGGAATGTGTCGTCCACCAGCTCGACGCACTCTGAGATTGGTCAGCTGTGGACAAAAAGTGAAAACACAATGCCTCACGGATGTTGGATGAAACACTCGACCGCATGATCTCAATCGACGCGTCGACAGCTGCTTTGACGTCCGGGAACTGCACACTCGCAACCGAGGTTGGAACGACCGGAGCGAGTCTCAGAGTCACTGTGAAAGTTGAGCGAACACGTCATCTCACAATTTCCTCGCCTTGCCTTCTGTGATTATGCCCAATGTACCTTCCTAAACGGGACTGACGATCAGCGGATTGACGGAACCAACCGGAAACGGCGCGTACTGCGCCAATGAACAACTTGGTTGTATCCCAGCCCGCCGAGCTCTTCCTCGACCGCTGCCGCGTCTTGATCACCTCGCCGTTGGGCAAGACGACTGTCAGGTTCAAAAACCATTCCGCTTTTGCCGTACCGTATCGCACAGCGTTTGCTGTCAATCCAATCATTCCCATCTGCCAAACACGGATGGAAGAGTCACACGCACTGCCTGAGCATCCAGTACTGGCCATTCCACCAATCGTAGCGGCCGGCGCCGGGTCGATCTAGTGCACATCAACGCTGGAATCCCCAATCAAGGAAAACGTACGGGAAAGAAAAGTGGTATGCCTGTGGCAGAGATGTCAGCGTGATACTCGTACTGAACCGGATGATGACCCGCACCCTCGCTTTTGAGTGTCTCATTCAACTCCATCCACCCCACGCCGGGCTGGCACACGACATCCGCATCAGCCTCTGGTATCACGACACGTCAAGCGAGGCCAACGAGAATCTGTTAGGGCCGTCCCACGCACCGTGAATCTCAATAATCTTGTTCATCTGCGACATGTCGACCGTGATGCACCCGCCCGCGAGCTTCAGCGTGCGGATATCAGCAGTGCCGCATGGCTACGGTCGCTGGCGAGAGCACCGAAATGAAACCACGCACCCCGATGAAATGGCCCTCTAGCGCCGTCGCCCCCGAGTAAGGCTGTCTCACGCATGAGCTAGAGTTGTGCACGCCGCGAGGAGGACAAGCCGGCACACACAATAAGCGGCATCCGGTACATATTCGCGACCTTCACAATCTCAACCACGTCCTCCGTGGACTCGGGGTACACCACGACACTCGGGGAGAAGCCTGGGCGGAGACACGTTACATGATGTACCCCGTTGTGCGCGGCAGCTCACTCACCCGTGTGGTACGTGTTCGTCGACATCCCGTGGATGGCCAGATCGTCCTCGTCGAGCGACACCACACTCCGCTCGTCGCTCGGAAACACGTGCAGCAGCTCGTCGATCGCCGCGCGGAAGTCCGCGGGCGTGCCGTACACCGGTTTCGTGTGGTGCGCAGAGGCGAAGTGCGCCGGGCCGCTGGGCGAGCGCGGGGAGGAGGAGGGAGACGAGGAGAAGAGCGAGCCGATGACGAAGCCCGTTGCTGCGGCGCTGAGCACGAGGCCGAGTGCGAGTGGGACGCCGCTTCCCCGGCTTGCGCTCGACGTGGAGGTGGAGGTTAAACGTGCTCTCCCAGCCCATCCGTACGCCGGCGGAGGGCGCACGGCAGCGGACCGAAAACCCGAGCGGAGCTGGATGCGGCACGCACGTATCAAGGACGGTGCCATAGTGGCAGGTCGCACGTTGTGGAGGTGGGGAAATCGAAGTTGCGGGGAAAAGTCGCAAACTCCGATCGTGATAGTGATTGGATCAGGCCTCCGGAGACAGCGGGCCGTCCGAGCGGCACGTGAAGGTCCTTGAAACTGCATAGTGCTCACTAGGTAAAGGCGCAGGATGAGATCAACTAGATCTGCGACGGTGTTCTCTTCGAGAGCATCTCGCTGGAGGTGAAATCTGATAGAGAGAGAAAGGCCATTTTCTATTGTTCAAAAGTTCGACCGTGTCCGAAAAAATCGACACCCGAGAGAAAGGATTTTTCACTGGACGTAATAGTATTTTGATTTTTGTCATCGAAGTGTGAAGGAGTTCAGTCGTGAAAACAAACTCATCACGTTCCCATTGAGCCCCCGCGAAATCTGTACTCACTGTCGAGTCTGGGATCACGGGACACGGATCATGTCGGATCAAAGTAATCATCTCATTTCCTTTCCTCTCCGGCCTCTGATCATCTTTTCGTCTGAGGAGAGATGAAGTCCCGTCCTACGTCTATTCTTCCGCAAGACCATTCCTTTCTCATATTTTGACTGCCATCTGTGAGCTGTCTGTGCCTGGCTAGAGGATGAGGCGCGAGAGGACGAAGCTATCACCTACTTGAGGGTTTCATCTTGTCATGGGTTGCCTCGCCAAGGCTGGGTGGCTGAACTCGAACTGGATTGATTTGACACGATTGCTCTCACCGTTGGCACACATCCTTGTCTGTTCAACGTACGCCAGGATTTCTACTCCGTGCCTTAGTCCACATAAAACCCCACATTCGGTTGCTCGACCTTGAAGCATCTCATTCACAATGTTTATCCCGACGCTCTTGATTTCGTCTCTCGTAGCCTCGATCGGACTCGTGGAGGTGCGATCTCGTGGTTTCAAACGACCAGATCAGCCACCTTGACCTCCTCACAGGCATCAGACGCCGGAAAGCCTCTGTTGGGCCGTACACTCGTCGCCCGCACTTCCCTAACGACGACGACTCCTCACACAGTGACGAGCCAGACGAAGAGCACGCCGAGCGCCGCTCCGACTGGCAACGGCAGCTGCAAAATCTGCGGTCAGGAATCCCGCTCAGTCTCATTTCAGACATACTGGTACTGAACGCCGCCGCCCAGACTGCCTCGTTACACTCGTGGAGGCCGCACTCGCTCCGGTCATATGCGTCGAGGCGGGTAGCCAGGCATTCTGCAGTGCGTCCCTAGTCATCGCATCACGCGAATCGACTAGCACGCGGCTGACTTGGATACTAACTTGCGCCTGTGCGTCTCCTCAGATCCTATCCTTGACGCCGAATGCATCGCTGCTGTACACGCTTATTCCAAAGTCTATGTACGGCCTTCCCGTTTCTTCATCTCGTTCCGCTGCTCAAAGTTCCGTTGCTAGTCGTCGTGCAAGGGCTGCTGAAGAGAAGGAACATTGTCTACGTAGGATGTATGATGTCAGAGTAGCCAGATAAAATCCACCATTCGTGTTGAGACTAGAAGTGATTCCCCCCCTGGGGAACTGGGCCTCTACGAGGAATCCTCTCTTGCCCCTAGGACTGAAGGCGCCTAGCGCGGGGTATGAAACACTTTCACGAGAGCAGCCGCAAGAACGTGGCATTGTTTCAGACGTAAAGGAGGATGGCGTGCTCTACTAGCTCCTGAATCACGAAACCTGCGAATGGAGAGTGAGGAGATAAGGGTCGATATGATTCAGATGGGAACTGTCCTCATTGGCATCACGATATCCCGTTTGTCAAGTGCACACTTAACGGTACCTTCACCAATGCGGTTAATAGGCAGGTCACTCCCTTCTCAATGTGCCTACATCGCACACTGAATGCGACCACAAAGTATCCTTCACAAGCGGTGCTGATATTCCCACACATATAAGGTGATGATCAATCAAAGACAGTGTACAAGGCCGAATCTAACGATCCAGCTCCCCATGCTCGAGCCAATCCAGCGCCATCTTCGCCTGCTCAACGACATCCCGCTCCTCCGCACCGGTGCTCCCGCCCCGTACCAGTACCGCCAACGTGCCCCGCACGCCCGCCTCCGCCAGCGCCCGGCGCGCCGCCGCACTGCCCCGCGCGAGCTCCAGGATCGCATGCACTGCGGGCCGACGGACCGCTATGCCCGCGTCGGCGAGGACGGACCGCAGAGCGCGCAGCAGGGCGGGGGAAGACAGCAGGTGCGCGTGGTACGGCGTGCCCGTGTTCGCGATGTTCGCGACGACGCATGTCGCGGGGAGGAGGCTGTCTTGGTTGTGTGTGGCCGTTGTGGGACTCGGGGTAGGCGGTGGATTCGCTGGGGCAGGTGCAACGGGGGTGGTCGTCGCCGATGAGTGGCTGAGCACCCGCACAAGGTGCGCGACGATGGGCGCCGGGCCGAGTTCGCGGAAGGCCATCTCCACGCCAGCTTCGTTCTCTGCGAGGTTGCGCAGGATGTGCCAGGCTTGCTCTTGAATGCCTACGTCTGGGTCCCCCAGAAGCCTGGCGGAGTTACGCTCACGTCAGAAAGGGGCCGGGAAGCCAATCGAAGACACGCACAAGGCCAGACGCGGCCAGCCAAGCTGAGCCATGACATCTCGTTTCGTCTCGCCGCTGCTCTTGCTGAGCAGATTCTTGACCGCCCAGAGCGCACTCAGCCTCAGTGTCGCCTCTGAACCAGCAATATGTTTCACAAGGCGCGGCATCAGGCCCTGGTCGAGATAGATCTGCTCCGAAAATCAGGACACCGAAGGACGCATACAGATCGCACGCACCGGCCGCAACGGCGAGAAGCCATTAACGATGTTACATACCGCGGCAAGCGCCGCGCCAATGACGCGCTTATCCTCCTGCCGCATAAGGACGGCGAACACACCCATACCAAGCCCACTGTCGACGATATTCGTGCGTAGCACCGCCAGGCCGCGGCTGAGCGCGCGCACGCACTGGCACCCCGCATACCGCACCCCAACGCGCGGGTGCGTCAGCGCTGCCAGTACCGTGGGAAGCAGAGATGGCGACGACGACGTGAGTGCAAGACGGATATTGTTCTCGAAGAGCGCTAGCGCCGCGAGGCAGGTCAGAGCTGCCTGCGAAGCATGAGTTTCAGTATCATCGTGAGGGCTGTTCCATACCTCGCGTAGAGCGGAGACGCTCTCCGCTTCATCATCCCCGTCCTCCGGCTCGGCAATATCCCGCAGTACCGCCGCCAGGAGACCCACTGACCCACGCTCGTAGGCTGTCAGTGCCAGCGCAGGGTGGTCCGCGACAAGATGATCTGCAGATGACAGAAAAGTAGTCGTGAGTGAATGGGGAACTTGATCTGGAAGAACAGAAACCGCACACAATACAAAGCACGCTTTCGTCCTGGTCTCCATGCCCGGCTCCGCGATAAGATGATTGAGGACGCTCAGCACACTAAGAACCGCCCCGTCTGGCGCCGCACCAGGGAGCGCACGCAATATGTGCGTCGCGCTGCACGCCATCTCAGCAGCGAAGATGATGCCTGTATGGCAGACGCACCAGAGACACGCGGCGACCTGCACATCCACCGCCTCGACGGTTTTCGCAAGCATCAGCACACAGGCCAGAGAGGCTTCGCAGTATCATCAGCAAGTCTTGCGAACTGGCGAAGAATGTTTGGTACACACCCTCGCCCACCGCACCCGCCACGCTCGGCTCATCCTTGGCGACCGCACCCAAGGCCCACAGCGCGGCCTCAACAAGCTTGCGGTCCCTCGCATTCGTGTTCGCGCACCGCACCACGAGGCCGAGCAACGTCCGACACATCCACCCGCCTGCCTCCCCGTCCCCGTCCGGCGCGGGCTTTTCCCAGCCCCGATTGCGCGTTGCTGTCGGCGTTGTCGGCGTCGCTGCTGTGACGCTGCTGCCGCCACTGGGCACCCATGCGACGACGGCGGCCCGGTGCTCCGCCCGGCGCAGCGCAAAGCCGAGCATCTGCGCGATGGATGTGGCTGTCGGTTTTGAGGACTGAGCGGGGGCAAGCAGAGGCAGGAGAACGTCCAGAGATTCGGGCTGCAAACGCAACGCATGTCGATAAGCATCCTGCTGTAGCGAGTATAGCGTATCATATGCACCTCGAACAGCCAGTCCAGCGCCACACCCGCGAGATCGCGGACCCGTATTCTTGTTCCTCCCTCTGGGACGCCTTCTGAGCCTATTTCGGAGCCTGGCTGTTGTCCGTGCTGAGAATCCGTCTCATCTGCCTCCAAAACAACCACGGAATCCGGATCCTCACGTAGACCCCACGCCGCGGGGCCGACACAGTCCGCAAGCCGCACCGCAAGCGTTCGGAGTGCACGGGTCGCGGCTGCGCGTGGTTCGTCGGAAGACAATGACCTTATTTTTGGCTGGGCTGCCGAAGAAGAAGATGATGATGATGAGGCTGGGGGTGCCGCTGCAGACGCAATCGCGCATACGAGCGCGTGGGGTGCATTCGCGCGGAGGAGCGTCTCCAAGACGCTGTCCGGGCCTGTACGGAGATGGGTGTCAGGGTCTGCCGGTGAACGAGGAGCGGAACTGGATCAGAGAAGCAAGCGGCGTGGAAGGATGGACGGCTGATGACGAGAAGAGACGCACGCACCGTACGCTATGGACGCTATGACATGTGCCGCCTCCGTCGCGACCTCCCTCTCGTCCCCGTCCGTGACCTGCTCCCCCGTGTAATATGGGTTCAAGCTGCGAACGAGGCTTCAGACCGAAAAGCGTGATGCGTTTGAGTGCGTGACATGTGCATGGAGCGTAAGAGGACGAGGAACGTGTGACGACAGGACGGAGTGACAATCGACGTGAGAACACCGATAAAACACGGAACGGCACATACCTCCCAACGAGCTCTGCGTCCCGGCCCATTTCAGCCTTCGCACGCGCATTCCCTATGGCTCGATTCTTTAGCGCCTTGAGTTTCACCAGGGTGAGCGGTGGCGGTGTTCTCTGCGTCGCTGTCGATGAGGATGTTGTAGGCACCGACGATGTCGAGGCAAAGGTGGAGGATGGGGACGTTGGCGGCAGCGGTGGCTGTAGGGTCATCAGGGTAGACAGGAAGAGGAGGGAGATAGCCGGTGATCGGAGCCCGCACAGGTTGCTGATCCGTGCTTCCTGCATGACGATTGATGGGATCTTATCTTATCTCTACGGCTGTGAATTATGGCCCGAAGTTAGTAGACCGTCCGGGACTCCGGGTATACCAAAAGTGAGGACGAAGTTGAGAATAGTTTTTTCGTCATTGAGATGCTTACCCTATTCAGTGGGAAGTAACGCACTCCCATCGTCGGGCCTGGTTTGTCCCCTGGATGGCAGTTTGTCCCGAACCGTTACAGATTTCGCCGACATTCCATTTCACGAACAAGAATCTTGAACAAACGGACCCAAGGGATCTCTATCACATGTACCTGAAACGATCAGGGCCCAGATTTACACCCGATCGGGTTGATCTACCGGAGAATACGCTGGCCGACGCGGGGCCTTGATGCACATCTTCGGGAATGATATCGCCGCGCAGTGAGACCCTCGATTCAAGTTCCTAATGCTGAAAACGACTCAGACCGCGCTTAAAAATCGAATGACTGCGCAGTCAATAAAACAAAGGCTGCTGCTACTTAACCGCTTGCCTGTGACGAGCAGAACATTCCCAAAAGCTCTAAAGAACAATTTTTGACGAGTATGTCAACAACATGTCTAAGCACACATCTACCCGTGACATAGCCGTCTCAATGCACTCGGCTGTCTCGGGCCACTCAATAGAGCACCAGTCGGCATGATGTAAAAGGTGCGAAGTCAACGGGCTGTGGCACCTCAATTTTGGGCTAGCCAGCTATAAAAGAGCCCCAAGAGGTGCTTCAAGACACCAGTCGTCCCTGTACTTCTTTCACTCATGCAGCTCACCCGCGCGCTTCTCGTCTTCGCTGCCGTCGCACTCAGTGCGGTCCAAGCTGCACCTGCCCCTGCGGAGGTGTCCTCCAGCCTCACCAAGCGTTGTACGTAGCCCCTTCTCTAATTCGAACGACCACGATGTCCATTCTGCTGTGCTAAAACTGAACTAGGGTGTGGATTCGACCACAGCTGCCCGTGCAAGACTAACAAGAAGGCCGGCTGTGTTGCCAAATTCGATGAATGCTCCCAGCACTGGTTCTGGCCCGAGGAGTGCACGACATGTGCCCCCTGCCTTCCGCTCTGCCTCACCCGTGAGTGACCCTACTTTCCGCGTGATCTCTTGTCCGATCGACACTGATTCTTTTGAAAGCTATTAAATGTGTGGGCGCTGCGGCGTAATGCAACAATCGTACCATACCATTGAGAAATTGTACCCACAAGCGATCGAAGTATGGAAACAGCCCTCACCTGAACTCTGAGCTCTGTGCGATCGGGACGTGTCGCTCAGTGAAGTAAAGCGAATGTCCATCTCGGCAAGGGGTGACGGATTGCCGGTGTATCCAACCACTCCGTCGGTCACAGATCACGGCTAAGTGACGAGGCGTAGCAAGAGATCAAACGGTCTAGCCGTCGTGACCTGTCACAGGTCCCTGCACAAAATGAGCTGGCAGCACAGCTGACCTGACCGGAGAGTGTGAGCTAATTTACCGCAATGGATCTTCTGTGGAAATCCGTTCACTGTAAAGCCTATTTCTGATGGCCCAAGCGAGGTTCAATAACATGAATATGGTATGATCATCGATGCAAAGATCGTTTTGTCCACCTCCTCAGACGTGAAACAAAAGAGAGATAAGACTCAAATCAGATTTAGAGGTAGTATGGGAAGAACAGGCCCCGGAAGCATTGCATTTTATGATCACAAAAAGTCCGAACGATGAATTTGTGACATTGTCACGCCACCTATTCTTCCCATTTCTCTGACAGAGCATAAATCTTACGGCAAGGAACCCTAAGAGCTTCGAGCGGGGTCCGGGTTCTCGATTCAGGTAGGATACGTGAGAGCCGGCTACACCATCCGGCCCCCGGACTGGGATGGATAGGCTCATGACGTACACTATCAAGTACCATCCACTGTGACCGGACTTCAACGGGAGGCGGGCGAAAGACGCTCAAGACTCCAATTCTCGCATGTCTTCCAGAGCCCTCAGCTGCGTCGAGGTAACGGACCACATCGTCGCTTTCCTCGCTTCGCCTGACTGCGCCACATCGACTTCCGATGTGCGCGCCTGCTCGCTCGTCTCGTTCGCTTTCGCTGGATCCAGCCAGCGTTGGCTCTTCCATCATATCCAGCTTCCCCCTGCCTGTCAAAAATGCACGAACACCGCAATCCGCTCCCAGGCTGCGTGTTCGCGACTGCTCGCCGTACTCGACGACAGCCCGTGGCTTGGACGCTACATCCGGTTTTTGACGCTCACGATAACCCGATCTCTGCTCGATCTATTGCCTCGACTATCTGCAGCACTGCCGTGTCTCCAGCACCTCGCGATCAGCAACCTCGACACCCGAAACGAGGACGTCCGCCTCCACATCCTCCCGCCCATCGCTCAGCTCGTCGGCCGGCCAACATTGCGGACGCTGGAGCTGCTGCAGCCTGTATTCGAAGACGTGCAGGACTTGCACGCGGTCTTTTCCCTGCGCGACCCAGGGGCCGATTTAGCGCGCCTCGTGCTCGACGGCCCGCGTGTGTTCAAATTCTTGCGTGCGCGTAAGCTGGATGACGCCGTGGATGATGTGCTTCTGGAAACAGATGTGCTCCCTGGGATGATCCGCGTTCTGAAAAGTACCTCGCTCAAACTCAACCTTTCCCGGTGGGATGGGTGGCTGGCGCATCCGCTGTGCCCGCTGGATTTCTCGGGAGTGCGTGATTTGGAGCTGCACGGCGCATTTGGAGTGGGACTGAGGAACCGAATGCGGCATGCGTGGGGTGGGATAACGAGGCTCGCAGCTTCTGCGTACAGTCTAGAAGGTCTGCTCAACTTCTGTAATCTAATTGAGGCAGCAACTGACCTGACATTCATCAACGACCGATAGCCGCAATCGCCGAAGGTTTCAGTCTCAGACAACTACCGTGTCTCCATGACCTTTTCTTGCATACTGCCAACGCCCATATTTCGTGTCTGAGTGCGATCATCGGCACACTCGGCGAGGAGAACGCACACAATCTGTCCCACCTCGCACTCGAGGTAGGCACCGTCGACCAGCTCGTTTCGCCTCCGCAAATTTCCGTGCTCGTAAAGACGCTGAATGACCTTCCGTGCGACTTCAATCCCCGGATTGAGCTGGCCTTCCGACATCTGACGGTTCATTTACACGGGCCAGACGGTGTCCGGTGGTTCTCAGATGCTGTGTCTCAACTCTCTAGGATACTTATCCCTAAATTGGGGAGGTTTACGGAGATCAACATTTCGTGTGTACAGAGCGGCACTCCTGGATGCATGATTCCCAAATTCTGAAAGAACTTCCAACTGGACAAACATCTGTCAACAAGCCTCGTTCTTGTGATCATCGGTGTAAGGTACTTAATCCGTATGCCTGCTTCACGAGACCTTCCCTTCGCGCTCGCAGTTGACCTAAGGCTAGGTAAAACTCCTGATCCGGGAGGTCGGTGCTCAGTACAAAGAGTCTATTTTTTGTAAATTATCGACGCCGGGGAGCACCGGCCCCCACTAAAAAAACCCGGTAATTGACCGTAATGACCGCGATATCATCAGAAAGTTTCGTAGATTTTGCATTATTTACATTGACGTGAATTGGCCATGAAAGGAATAGATGTCTCTTTCCCTCACAACTAGTCCTGCAAGTAAATTTTCTTTTTTAGGATAGATTTCCATCACAGAAAGAAAATTAATAATATAATGATGTTTTCTTTGCAATGTCGATTCTCCAGAAAAAGAATTTGAAGAAAGATCATCCTATATGAATCTCTTTGGAGTAAATATTAAAGTTGTTCTACTCCGGACTTAGAAGCAAAGGAGATGGTATTGTTCAATATTTCGACTGTTCTCGGAGTCGTTTCAATCTGACGTCTTATTCATTCATTCGAAGTGAACACATCAAAGTATCTCTCGATCCAACCGTCAGTTCGACGAAATCATTTGCTGAGATATCTGATCCCGCTCTTAGGGCAGCTGGAGCTCTCCGGCGAGTCTGCAAAGCCATAAGTCGTCAGCGTCATTACGAGACAGAGGCGATCCTCGTCATCACACTACGCACCGATGAGTTCAAAATCTCCGTCGATCATGCTTCCACGGAGATGGTAGTAGTACGAAACACCGCCGAGGTCGCTTCCTGAGCAGTCGAAGGCCGGCGTGACCTGGATAGAACCGCACGGTTCGCGATCAACCATTATTTATCCGCGTTGAAAGATGAGACGCACCCCGGCTCCAGCTTTGATCGCCGCATTCAGGCTAGCCAGCGTGTGTGTCCCACTTCCGGGGGTGATTCCAGCGTCTTTGAGCCACGTGTACGTCGGCAGAGACTGAAAACCCATCCACCACATAAACAGATGCAACCAATTCAAGACGGGAGCACGAGCACGCACCTTGAACAAGCCCACGGTGGTCTCGAAGAACGCGACGGCCTCGGCGCCGCGCGGGCTGCCCGACGGGAGACACGACGGCTCGAGCGTGCTGTAGCATGTGCCGTGAGTGGCCCATTCGTGCGCCCAGAGCTCGGAGTCGGAGCCGTCGTTCGGGTCGTTTTTCCAATACTAAGAGGCATGGCATCAATATGCATACAGATGGACGGAGAGATGAATCATTCGCAACCCACCTTGTTCATGTAACTGAGTGTTGAGCTACCGCCTTGGGCACTGAGGAGCTGGAGAATGGATGTCAGGCGTGCTGTGTCGGGGTGGCCTCGACGGGACTTGAGCTCACGCTGCCGATGTTCGTGTAATCGCGGGACGAATCGCAGTTACTTGAGTACGAGCCGTCGCAGTGGTCCGGCCAGAGTCCTGTGGATTTGTGATGAGCGGGGTGGAGTCAACCCGCATCGGGTTTCAGGAGGACTAGCTCACCGTGGATGGTCCAGCTGTCAGTCGGACCCGTCGGCGGGTTAGTATCCCAGAACTACAACAGCGCGATACTCAAAACCAGCCCGAATAAGGCAAGGGCCGCCGCACCTGCGTCTGAAGAATCAATCCCTGGAATCATTCCGTTAGCCAGCTGAAGTGGTTGAGATTTCCAACGCAAACGCACACCGGGAGCCTCGTAGCAACAGGACCCCTTGGCCGAAGAGCTGCACGACAGCGCACCGCGAGTCCCACACCCAGACGAGATGGAAGGCTCCAGTCCCCGTGGAATCAACAGCGGACGAATGAGTCCGGCCGACACCGCGTGTACACCGCCTAGCGCTGCGACGATTAAAGCGAGGAGCGCCATTCTACTGAAGCTTGCAAGCTACGCAAACGCAGTGCTCGATACCTCCCCAGCCCGCAACACCCATGTTTATATACAGAACAACGCTGGATATTAATAGTGCGCTGGCATGTGGAGGTGCAGAGGGTCCGGGCAGAGATGTCACTTCGGCAGGTGTGGCCGAAGAATCACCACGCACCGCGCGGCCTTCCTTCGAACGTGGAGGCGTGAAGTAGCCAAGATTGTAGCAAGCATGCATGCGCGCGCACGCATGTGTTGTGGGGTGGAAGTTCATTTCTAACGTCTCCGGCAGAACAGTCCCAATCTCTGTAAAATGCTAGTGACTTGAAACCACTAGCCAGTAGCACGTGAGCTCGTGAGGACGTCACCGTCACGTGGACGACCCACTGTTGTTGAACATCACATAACGAAACCCCTTTTCCCTTGCTCATGAAGTTCGTATGGATACTGACAGCTTTCGGCCTCGAGAACACCTCTGGATCAATGACTTGACTTGGATTCTGCCCTTGACTCCCATGGGTCGTCGCATGGTCGCATGGTAGGAAAATGCACACCCCAGACATGTTCCATCGAGCTGCGCCAGGGCTATTTCCACATGACCTGCCGCTACGGGACGCAGTTCTGCTACGTCTGCGCCACGCGATGGAAGACCTGCGCGTGCCCGCACTGGGAGGAAATGCACCTGATCACCACTGGGGATAACTGCGCGTCGTCGAGGCGCGTGGCAGCGGCTTGGGAATGATCATGATTGTGTGAAAGACCATTACTGGCGCAAACGCAATGGGCGGGCACGGTGCGAGGAGTGCCACTTCGTGTTGCCCGACGATCTATTCGTGAGTGCACTGGTCCTGGTTCGCTCACGTCTGAAGCTGAGCTCTCTTATAGCTCTGCAGATCTTGTGGAGTTGCCGTTTGTGCAAGGTACGGACGAAATCATCTCTGGAAGAATTCTGTTGTGGTATCTTGTCTCTTTGTGATATATACACTAAATGTGCCAGTCGACTCTGTCGACCATGTCGTCCTCATCGATTACTTGCACTTGAGATACTTGACCCTGCCTTCCCAATCCATCAGTGTGCTCTTGAGTGCTGGGGGGAAGAAAAATGACCAGCGTCTCGTCGAAAGTGCATTTTCTAGTCTTCCAGCCCCATGCGGGGACGCGGACAACTATATTCGTCGTCGTCCGTTACAATTTGACCAGTCATTCCCGCAAGAAATCCTGGATCACACCGGGGCGGATCTCGTCATTGATCGCTCCCAGGCCAGCTGGTCCGTAAGCCCGGGCGCTGAAACCGATGAGCAAGAATCTAAAGACCCAGAGAGTCCACCACCACTCACCCAGCGAATCAAGCTCCATGGCAGGCGACTCTAGCGACTCCCCGGTCTCCCCCTGCGACGAACTGAGGCGCCCGGACATATGTTCCCGGGCTGGGTCACGCAGGGAGAGCATCAACCGCGTGATCGCGAGGGATGAAAATCTGTGCACAGGCGAGATTGAGCTTTACCACAATCACGGGGGAGAGATGGCGCACGCACGCATTGGTCAACGTCGTTACTGTCTCGCGGCCGAAATCGCTCCCGAGCTGGGCAGAAGTTGAGTCGAAATAAGGGCGCGACGCGAATGAGGAGACGCACGATCAGGACGAGGACATTGGCAACATTCATAAGCGTCATAAATCTACACGAAACGTAATCAGCCCCGCATGCCGGCCTTCGAGCAGAACGAGTACGCACGCGAAGTAAACCGCCCCGTCTCTCAACATGACCGAGAACAGATCTGCGCCTGGCCTACGGCTGTGCACAGGGCGCGTGAGCACGCGAGCAACGGTCATGCCGAATATCAGCGCGTCGAACGCCGTGACGCAGGACCACGCGATGGCCAGGTAGACCCCGCTGTGCATGAAATCAGCGAGATCAAGGGCCCGGATCTGCAGCACGCACGCGATGTGCGGGGTGCCGAAGTTGCACCCGGAGAACAGCTGCAGTGCTGCCTGGTTCGTGTCCGGTGCCACTATCGTCGCCCACTATGCAGGAGCAGAAATTGAGATCCGTGCTTGCGCTGATCCAGGAACTGCGACACGTACGATGGCGATGGCGAGCACTGCGGCGGCGAAGATAAGCATGGCTGCGAGTGCGCGGATGGAGCGTTCGTAGAGGGCGTAAGTGCGCAGCACGAGCATGACTGCGGCGATAGGTGTCAGTACATGCGCGTATGCACCTCCGTCCCTACTGATTCACGCACTCCCGACGATGATCTGGCTCCCCACGAGGAAATACTGGTGAAACACCTCCATCGGCCCGCATCTGCACCTCATCAGAAAACCATCTACGTCTCGACGACATAACGTACGCCTGTCGCATCGATCAATCAGCTCGGGACTCAGACGAATCATCTGGGACGCACAGCAATCTTTGCGGGAGTCAGCTGCCCACCCCATACATAGTCGACCAGGATGGAGCTATTCCCGAGGAGAGTCAAGTACCGGTTCAGGTAGTAGAAGAACGTGGGCCACGAGAACGGCGTGCCCCAGTACCGCGCGACCTCCCAGTCAAGCGTGAGCAAGTAGTCGTACACGATCAGGGCTGCGCGAAGTCAGCATACAGGATTCGCGGGGGAAGGGGAGGGAGAGATGAGATCGAAGACGCACTGAACGAGAGGATGTCGAATGCGCTGGTTACACTACACGCCATGTATGAGCGCGCAACAATGCCTCGGAAGTGAACATACAATTGGTCGTGCACGTCAGCTCCACTCGCATTCGTGCTCATCTACATCCACGGACAGAGTCAGGGAGGAGAGGGAGGCGCAGCAGCAGCAGCAGCAGCAGCAGCAGCAGCAGCAGGAGAAGGGAGGGAAAGAGTTCGGTCAAGTCAGGCACCGACGAAACGCATGGTCGCAAAATCAGCGATGCCTGCCATCTTGATGTGATCTGGGTGCGTTCGTTGGTGCTCTTTGGCTGGAACGTGACTCGCGGAAGCTGGCCCTGCCTTCCAGAAAAGCCGGCCGTCTACATAATATTTCCAACCCGCAAATGCGGGGGAGACTGTATTCGAGGCGGACTAGCGACTTCGACAGGTGCAAAGAGGGTCGGCCATCCAGTGTGACGACCCGTGTCATAGTCAGTCACGGGGATGACATCGGTTCCATAAAAGCTGCTACTGTCAGCCTGTCAGCTATTTTAACGATTAAGCTTTCGCAGACGCTGTAAAGTGCTTTCATCCTCGAGTCTCAATTCATGATTCCGTGGCACATCGGGGACAAGCGCTTGCTGGCCAGCGAAGAAAACAGCTGCCGCATTCATGCAAAGCTGGATCTTCGGGCCAGACGCCAACCGTTCCGGGATGACCCGTGCTCTGATGTGAGATCACGGACACCGGTTCCGACCCTTGTGAGACCGCAGAGCTGATCCGCGCTGCTCAGTAACTTAGGAGCATGAGGGCACACATCTCCGTCATCAATTCATTTGTCTCAAAGTACAATCCATAACCGTTATTCCGAATCACTGCGCGCTCTTCTTGGACGGGTCGATGCATTGGAAAACTGTCATCCCCTGGTCAACCACCCACCACAAAAATGATCAGAAGCGCAAAAAGCGCGAAGACTCACAATCGACACACAGCTCGGGGCACGTGCCACACCCCTGGCACTGCGGCGGCCAGTACCACTGCTGGCCGCACTTGTCGAACGTCAGCTGGCAGCCCGTCGCGGCGTCCGGCGTGCAGCCGCACTGCGCCTCGAAACCGCACCCTGACAAGCAAATAGTGAGTTGGCAGCGAGAGATTCCGGGCTTGGAGACCCACAGCGTTTGGTGAGGCTCGATTCCACAGCGGGAGCCGCGGTAACGGCGCTCATGCTCGCGAACGCGACAGCGAGGCTGACGAGGGTGGCTGTGAATTGCATCTTGTGTGGGTTGCGGTGTCAGTGAACAGTGCGCTGATTAGGCTGGAGACCTGGGACACTTACACTCCTAGCCCCCGGCTTTTATGGGATTTGCGGATTCCTTGTTGAAGCCTGGGGGTGGAGACTTATCCCCGTTTGCGCTCCGATACCAAGCCACCGACACCTCTTACGTTACTTGCGCATGAGATTCATTTTATGTGTGCCTGGTCCACTCCTCCGAGTCACCCTCGCTTACTGAATTCAACTGCATCCTACTCCGGTTCAAGGGATAGAAATCAACGCTTTCAATTGAACATTATTGGCTTGGCCTATGTCTCGGTAGTGTGCTCAAGTTGAAAGGACGACACGGGTGCGTCGGCAGTCCGCCAAGAAAAGGCATCGCCTGCTCTAGAGCTCCGTGACATTCGTAGAATTCTGAGGACTTGATATCGAGTGAGTAGACTCTGAGATTTCGATGCATAGATAGTAAGAATATATCATCGGTTAAAGGCATTACGTTTGACGAGGCTCATATTTGTGAATACAGAAACGCTCTGTTTATCCTGCTTCTCGGTAGCTTCCCTGAGAAATTTTCATAATAATCCCGAATCACTTCGGAGGGGATGGGTCGATGCAGTGAAAGACTGGCAATCACGATACACAAACTCATCAGCGGGATCGAACAATGATCAAGTAGCGGCGGCTTACACAAGACGCAATGGTCCGGGCAATCTGCCTGGCACCCCTTGCAGTGCGACGGCCAGTACCACTGTTGACCACACTTGTCGAACGTCAGCTCGCATCCGGCCGCAGGATCCGGCGTGCACCCGCACGTCGCGTCGAAGCCGCACCCTCGAAGCACGCAGCATGTGAGGATTCAACCGGGCATAGGATCTGGAGCGGAGACGACTCACAGCGCTTGGTGAGGCTGGATGTGACTCCCACAGAGGGAGCCGCCTGCGCGGTGCTCGTGAGAAGGACGGCGAGGGAGAGAAGTGCAGAGGTGAGTTGCATTGGTGAGAAGGTTGACACACTGATTAGCCCGAGCCCGGCTTTTATTGATCCAGAATCTACGTCTAGCCCTGAAGCGGTTCATGACTGATCCCCGACGGTGAAATTCAGCCATCCTGCGCTTGAATACAGCACTACACACGTGCCTGGCATGGAAGGACGGTGGATGCCATTGACTTCGCTGGTCCAAGATGTTCAGGCCAAGCGAAAGACAGTCTTTGGGCTTCTGGTTGATAAGTATCAATGAATTGCTAGGTATGAGAATGTCATTCGGCACACGATGTAGTACCCCTCCGTCTCCCGATATCGTAAAGCCTCTGCTATGAACTCGAGAAGCGACTTGGCGCTGGCCACGACAACCATCGGTACTGGATCACCGGATTGCTTGGCTGATTTAAATGCTCCGGACTCCGGAGCGGTCGGTGTAATCATTTGTTCAATTTCGTACATGTGGACTGGGCTCTACGAATGAAGACATTCGAGTCCTAAGCACCGTCACTACAACTGGTCCATGTTTTGACCGCGCGATCAAATGGGATGGACTTGTAGGACAGCGCTCGCAAATCCACTCTTTAGTCTTCAGAAGCACCTAACTACTCCCGAACAAGTCCCTCTCTCAATTCAACTCCTCAGCAAGCGCTGTTTGATGCAGCAAACGCGATCACGTGCTATCGACCACTTCACAGATCCGCACGTCTTTACGCTGGTTATCATCATTCATTCACTCATTCATATTCACAAAACACGAGAGCTCTTCCTACGCCATAACTCCCGCTTCTCAACGCGCCGACAGTCTCACGCAGTCGGCTGCGCGCACAGATCTACGCACATCTCCCCATCAGCCCAGCTCAAAGATCAAGCGACGCTGAGAAACTACTCACAGTCGACACAAAGCGCGGGGCAGTCACAAGTGTCGCACGCAAAGGGCCAGTGGTAGTTCTGCCCGCACTCGTCGAACAGGAGCTCGCAGCCGGTCGCGGCGTCTGGAGTGCAGTTGCATTCGGGGCGGAAGCCGCACCCTGTGGGAGCGCAAGGTCAGCATGTGAGCAGAGAGGAAAGTGGAGTGGAAAAGTGGCTCACAGCCGCCTCTAGTGACGTTGGCCGATACAGCGAGGCTGGGGGCCGCGCTGACCTGGACCGTGAGGGCAAGAGCGAGGGCGAAGAAGGTGCGAGTGAGTTGCATTGTGAGTTATTTCAGGGTGGTTTGGAATCGAGGTGTCGTCTTCGGTGTGTGTTTTATACTTCGTAGAGAGTCTCAGTCTGGATGAACTTCTCGTAAGGGATCCAGGTGGGTAAGAATGCCGATGAATAGGTGCCTGAAGTCTTGGCTACATTGTGACGCAGCACTTTCATTCCCCAGACGTACATGACAGATCCTTATACAACCCCCAACAGATACTCTAGCCGCATAATCCAACAGCAGCGAACTTTCCACGTCCTCGGCTACTTGAAGTCCAGCGCCCCACTTGGCGCAACAACTCACATTCTCTACAACGTTCCCGCGACAAACATCAGCGCCACATCCCTCTCTCCCTGCCACGAAAAGCGCTTGGCTTACCTCAGAGCAGCGCTTCCGTGCAAACACGAGACCGCACCCCAGTAGGAGAAGGAAGAGCGCCAGAACACCGCCGAGCAGGTCGAGCCAGAAAACCCCCTGGACCGCCGTGCCGAGTTCGCCTTGGAGGTCCGAACTACGTGCGTTGGCTCGAACACCGCACGCGCGAGCCCATCGCTTGTGATTGCTTATGGCTGGGATCTAGACCGCATGTGATAGATAACTCCAGAAAGAGAGAGAGAAAGTAGGAAACGGCACGGACGTACCGACGCCCGGTAGATGAACTCATACAACGGGACATCCCGCTTATGCCCAAACGCACGCAGCGTCCTCCACCCGTCCTCGTCCTCCGTGCCATTCCGCCACCTGAAGCGCACGAAGTCGAGGCTCTCAGGCGGCGGACCCCGACGGAGCTCGATCACGAGACTCGCTCCGAAATTGGCTGCGACGTTTTGTCTTTTGTTCAGCCGCAAGGATGCAGCAACACCAGAAGAGCACGCACGCAAGGCCGCGAGTTCTGGGTACACCGCGGTCATATCCATCTGGTGGAAGAGCGATATCAAGGGCTGGTACGTCGTCTCGATCGCCACGAACTTCAGCGGGTCGCGCGCTGCGGCCATGCGCTGCAGCGCGTCGGTAATGGTGGGCATCATCGTCCGGCCCGCGACTGCCGATGGCCCAATCAGGTGAATCAGTGAGCCTATAGCAACGACTGACTGTTTCCTATGCCGTCAGCGCGGGTGTCAGAGAACACTGCGTTCTCGTGCCAGTCGGCCAGCGCACGCGCTTGCGCCATGTACGTCGGAGGAAGCCGGTAGGCGAACGTCTGGTTGAAAGTCAGCTGATCTTGCATGAACTCGTGTATCTGGAGGGTTTCGAGTTATCCTGGTGCAAAAAACTGATATCCTCCACAGTAGAATGTCTTACGCTGACCTGATTTGCTGTCAGATAGGATGGAAGAGGAGTGATACTGGCAGAAGAGGGCGCACGATATTCTCCAGCGAGGATTCCCGCCCAAACAGATACTGCCGCACATCGTCAAGAAAGGGCCGCGCCTCGCGTGCTTTGCGCTTGAACTTTTTGGAAGCTCGGAATTTGACTACGCGTCTTTGAAACGCCTTCGGACAACTGATCAAGAGCACTGAAGGGAGGGCGACAGCCAACACACGCACCGGACACTCCCTCCACGGCTCCAAACTCCCATCGTTCCCTGGTTCAATTGTTTCGACTGAACTCAGAAACAGATTCATTGAAACCGACCGCATCCAGAGTTGAAGAACTGGGATTCACGCACCAGGCACATACTGATACCCGCCCAACGGGCTCCTCACGACCGTCCCATTCGCCAAATCCACGCAGTTCCGCTTGCTGGGTGGGAACAGTCCCTGCAGCAAGGCCATCGCGCTCTCGAATCCCCCACCCCCCTGGGTCGCAAGGACCTGGAGCTCGCGCGGGGCCACGAGCGGGTGCGACTCAAGTCCCCTGATGGTGGTGCGCGAGGACGGCGAGAAGTACCGCGCGCGGAGGTCTGCGCCGAGGTGGTGCGCGTCTGACTGCCGATGCTCGACTGAGCCATCTCGTGGTGGGGTAGGAGGAGGAAGCGGGGGACGCACAGTGCCTACCACGCTGTGGCGACGGGCAGAGGGTTCTTCCGCGTCCGGCTGTGTGTGGTGGTCGCCAGCGCGCGCGATGACGAGGACTCCGAGTACGTTCGTCGACATCCCTGGATCCAGGTCGTACCCATCTGGCGGGTGCGTGGGTGCGTGAGTTATGAAGTCCGTTTGCAGACGACACGATGGGTGAAGAGCCGTCCACGCGGTGGCCACGATGCGAGTGATGCTGGGTTTGCGCGGGCGCAGCATGAGCTAGATGGATCGATCTCAGATCCATTGCATGGCTTCGACAACGAAATTCGGTGCTGCAGTGGAGCAGTGGTCGCGTCGGCAAGCTTGCTCACCCCGCCCAAGTTCCCATCACAACATCAATTCTGGCCAAGCAGACAACGCGACAAAGGCATCCTTGATTCCGTACTTACTAGTAGTACGCTCATGAGCATGCGACGGTCACGCACATCGAGCAGCAAGGAAGAAAGTTGACATTCTCTACAAATATGTCAGGAACAGTATTCCAGAGCAGGTTCAATCAAATGATGACGTAAACACTTCATCCCAGCCCACACCCTCAGAAATGCGACTACAGCGGCGGGAGGACCCACTGTCCCTTCAACACGCCCATGATCAGACTGACCTCAGCCGGCTGCTCGAACATCCCCGCCCGCGCCAGCGGATTCATCCACCACGGTACAGACAACGTGAACCACGCCGTGACCCACAAATACCCGAGATACCGCACAGCCCGGCTCCGCGGGCCGAGCCCAGCTCTACGGCCGAGGTACTTGACGAAGTCCTCCACAGTGATAGCGACGGCCTGCGCGAGGAAGAAGTGAAGCGCGCCGCCGTGCCAGAAATCCAGCGCGTACACTTCGGCAGCGTAGTGCAGCAGGCCGGAGATCAGGAAGGCCGTGTACAGCTGCGTGTAAGAGGACGCATTGGTGCCTGGTTGGAGCCCCAAAACGCGCTTGGAGAGGAATTTGCCGTGGGAGGAGACTTGCTTTGGGGACATCAGCTTGCGAACCATTCCCTAATCCACACGCAGTACTCACCCGACGCAGGAGCTGATGCCACGCTCGTCTGCAAGGCCGGCAGTCAAAAAAAAGTGCACGACTCGATCAACCGCACCCCACTCACCCCCAGAACCTCCGCACCGAATACGCCTCCCTAGGCCCCCCAAACAGCGGCGGCCACTCCTCCGGCTTCGACAGCCCCACGGCAACCGCAACGACGCTGATCGCCGTCCACGCTAGCGCCAGGCCCGTCCACCCCGACGCGCCGAACGTCAGCGCCATCCCCGCGCGTACGCCCCACCCGCGCGACTCCCACGGCCCACCCGCCGCGCGGAACAGCGCGTTCGCACGCGTGTACAGGTTCGCTGCGTCGTGGATGATCAGCAGCGCGAGGCCGCGTGGGAGTTGGGTACCGAGGAGGAAGCGCAGGCGGGACGTGCCGCGTGCGGGCGCGGGCGCGAGGACCGATGTGGGTTCGTGCGACCACCCGACGCCGCGGGGGCTGAGCCACAGGCTGAGCGCCCACCGGAGGCGCTCGAAAACGCTCTGAGTCTCGATCGGTGGGGGCGGGGGCGAGTCCTGCTTCCTCTGTTCCAGCTTGACGAGCTCGCGCTGCGGCTCAGCGACGAGGATGTAGTCCGAGGCCTGCCAGAAGTACCCCCACCACGCGCATCCGATCGTGTAGTCGCCCAGGAACGTGCCCGTGGTCGAGCGCGCGACGTATACTGTGAGCGCGGATATGGGGAGGAAGAGGAGGCGGCGGAAGGGCGAGGGCCGGAGGGTCAGCGCGAGGAGGACCGTGCCGTGAAATGCGGGCCAAAGAAGCGCAGGCTGGAACGGTGGACGGGACATGCGGATGTCGTAGCGGCGAATAGAGATCCTGGCGAAAAGTTACAGCGGCTGTGTCGCATCAGTGGCTGTGCAAATGCTCTGTCGATGTGACGCATGCACTTGACATGTGCGCTATAAAACTTGCTTTCGTCGTTTGCAGAAGACTTGGCAGTCGCAGAACCAGGGCCCAGAACTCTGCATCTCCAGAAATGCCGGGATATAGAGAGTGGCAAGGGCACGGATTGAGCGGAGGGAAGAAGCAAAGGCTCAAGCGCTCAAGCTATGGTTGCGGGTAATATATGGTTGCGGGTATTAGGCTGATCAAATTTACATGTGCTAATTAGCGTAGGTAAATTACCGTAAATTACCTATATCTGGCCCAGGGTCCAAAATTGGCATGCAAATTAGCCGTCCCTGGTAAAATAGGTTTGGTGGTTGACTCGGGCAGATATTGAGATAAATGGCAATTGCAGTGTACGGAATATTTTGGTAGGACTTCTGTGTGATGGTTCAGGCATAAAAAGCCATGAATGTGCAGGCCCAGGAAGCTTGATAAGAGCCCAATGCCAGCTGGACCTAATTCGGACTAGACCCAATTCGGACAGGTCATCCAAGCACCCAGACAGAACTGTCGGGGCGTGCTCCCTTGGCTTCAAAATGTCTCGTCAAAGTTTCACATAAAGGCTGAGAAATATTTTGGAGTGTCTGGCCAACTTTGATATATATATGAAATACACTGGAACTCTTCTAACGGTGTGTAAACAATTTTAAATTTCATTTCAAGTGCATGTTTTATCGGCAGTTCGCGTAGAGATGTTCGATGGCCCTCTGCTTCAAATTCTGGGGAAGATTATTATGTTAATAGTACAATCAATAATGTCTATGCGCTCGTCGGAAGAGCTCTGCTCCGCCCTGTACCCTGCGCTAATTAGCATGGTAAATTACGGTCAAATAGACCCCCGGCCGAAGGCTGTGTATTTTACAAGCGTCAATTAGAGCCAAGACCTATTACCCTATGGTTGCGCTTGAGCCTCAAGCACCTTGCGATGGAGAGCCACGTGATTGATGCACGCGGGCATCACCGGCGACTATGCAGCCTGATCAAGGTCGATCACGTGTCTCCCGGTAGCCTTGCGCAGGCCCACCCCATTCCTCCGTCTGAATCATAACCATGGACACTAGGATGCTCAGAAAACGAATTAGCGCTCTGGACAGGTCGATTTCCATCCTTCAAGACCAGCTGCGCGTGCTCGAAGCAGAGAAAGCGGACCTCGCGACCCAGCTCCGTCGATCCACGTACCCAGTCGAAACCCTGCCTCCCGAGATCACAGCCCAGATCTTCGTGCACTACATCGCTGCGCTGAAAGAGCCCACCATATGCCCTGCCTTGCTCGGAGTCTGCCGTACATGGCGACAGGCCGCATTGGGCACCCCGGGGCTGTGGACCAACATCGTCACGCCCTCACAGCACCCGCAGCCGGACGTGCTGCTGCAGCGCTGGGTGGAGCGCACGGGGCCCCGAATTCCCCTCGATCTCTGCCTCCGCCTGCTCACGACGCGGCGGACGATGGAGCTAGGGCTGGCGGTGCTGGGTGCGCACGCGTCGCGCTGGCGGCGCGTGTCACTGCGGATACACATGCCGTTGACGCTCAGCCTGACACTGGGCAGCGGATACGGATCATGGGAGGGTCTGGAGGAGCTAGAAGTGTGCACTGGCCCATACGGCGCGGCGGTGCCTGGCCCTGGGACGGGGCTGTTCCTCGCGCCGCGGCTGCGCCGGGTGCGCGTGGACGGGTACCCCGCGACGGAGCTCGTGCTGCCGTGGACTCAGATCACGTCCCTGACGCTCCGCATGCAGTCCCTCGCGGAGTGCCTCATGGTCATCTCGCAGACGCGCCAGCTGGAGGCGCTGCACGTGTCGCTGGCAGACCGGGACACCCACCACCGCCCGATCTCGCTGGTGCTGCCTGCGCTGCGGCGGTTTAAGGTCAGGTGGGATGGGGAGCCGTCGATCCTCGAGTACATGACCCTGCCACAGCTCACGGACCTTGACATCGGAGTCCATGTCGACGAGGTGATCCCGCTTGTGACCCGTTCAGGGTGTACAATCACCCACCTCCGCCTGTGGAACGTGGAAATGGACGACGACTCCATTTACGAGTGCCTCGGAGCTTTGCCGGGGGTAACGCACCTCGTGGTGGGGTGGACGGACATGAAATACTTCTCGAAATTCTTGCGGATCCTCGCTGCCGCTTCCTACCACACGGAAGACCCTCCAGTGATACTGCTCCCCATGCTGCAGTCCTTGGTATTGGAGAATTGCGAACCTGCCCTAGACCTTCAAAGCGTCCTGCTCTTACTCGACATGCGCTGCAGACAGCGGGAGGGCTACGCGTTCCCCACGGCCCTGCTGCGAACCTTCCGTGCGACCTTTCGGGCAGAAGTATACGACGCAGACAATGACGAAGACGAGGATGAGCATATCAAGGACTCGATACTCGCCTTCAAAAAGCTGATTCGCGAGGGGCTCTCGCTTCAACTCAATATGCCTCGGTACTGGCGATCTAACGAGTTGAACTGGCATAAGGTGAGTGTCGGCCTATCCTCGCTACGAGTCTCATGCCTGCAGATTGAGGAATTGACACGGCTGGACTAATACATTACTCGACACCCCCTACAGTACGGGTAATAGTAGCTTTTGTTTTGGGGTTCGAAAAAATGGCTTGAACAGCTATGTCAACCGTGACATGGCTCGAACGAACGGGTAGTCAAAACAATCGGCGTGAAATTAGGGACATTGCAGCCAATGATACGGTACGGTTCACAGGTTCGTTGAAAGAAGCAACAAGCAACAGTGCCAACAGCGATGGTCCCAGACGAAGAGCGTCTGAGTACGGCATGATCAGGACCACGCCGGCAGGGATACTGTATCGAAACACAACCTCCGGCATCCACACTCATCCCTGGTGATCCACCCGCTTCCCCTCGGAGTACAGCAACACAAGCAGGAAAAAGAGCCGGTCGTCTTCGTTCCTAACGAGCGGGCTCAGGCGCAGGACAGGCAGCGTCGTCTGCCCGAAGATGGGGGACACGCATGACTTCAGTTCCGCGAGGATCTCGTTCTGCCCATTGACGATCTTTTTCACCGGTGCACGTGAGCGCGGTGGGCCAGATGAATGAATCGATACGGGAGACAAGCACGCACCGACCACGTATCAGCCGAATTCGAGTACCGCACGGTGTACTCCTCGCCCTCCAGCCAGCGCCAATACCGCACCCTGCGCCCACCCTCACGTCAGCGGCGTATTCACACGCTCGGGATTAGGAACAGCAGCAGCACGCACGCAGATAAGGCACTCGCGCGCCGCTTCATGCCGTCGACGGGCACCGTGTTCGTCCCGACCTTGAACGTGCGCTGCTTCCAGTCGATCACCGCGCAGATCGTGCCGACGCGGTTCTCGATGCACGTCTCGAGGCGCGCGGACCCGCCGTGGTACGTCTCGACCCCGTATCGCCGCGAGTTGTCGTCGGTGTTGCGGATCACGGACTTGAGCACGTTGTCGGTGTCGAACGGGAGCACGAGCATCGGGGCGGCGGGCATTGAGGGGGAGCGCGAAGGAGAAGAAGAACGAGAAGCCGTGGGGAAACGGAGAAAAGGGACACGGCGAAACGGGGAACAACCGAGTGGCGTGGGGGTAATGTTTTGCCGACATCAACGGTTGCCGGATTATTTGAATAGGTGTCTGATTCCGTGGAAGCATTATTCAATTCACAGGCTTCGCCTAGACTGCACCGCTTGCGTGCTGGCCGGAAGCAAGTGGGGTGATTTTTTTCTTTGCAAGGAGCGAGGAGTGACGGACGTGCACAGAGAGGGCCATCAACATCCGAAAGTATCATGATGCTAGTCAGCTGATATCTATCCGGTACATGACCCAGTTGCGCATACATCCAAGGTCGTGTTTTCTATGGACGCATATGTAAGGTACGGGAAAGTACCGAAATTAAAACACGATTCACTAGATGTGAGCAATACAATTACCGCAACCCTCTCATAACGGGAGGGACACACAGCCAAGCCAAAAACGAAAGTATATGTACGTAAAGAGCGTCGGAAATTCATACACCAGGAAAAGAAAAGAACAACAACAATCCGCCTACCGTTCGTCGTCGGAGCTGGCGACAGTCGCCTCCGTCTCCGTGCGCTGATTCACGCGCTGCGAAACGAACAAAGAGTGTCAGAACAAGTAAGTAAAAGAAAAGCCAGGATGTACGCACCCCACCGATTGGGCGCGAGTAGTCCTCATGGTCCTCTAGCGTCCGGGTCGAATGGGACTGCAGCATCGCCAGCCCGGGACGCAACAGCGTCGCCGGCGTGCCAGTCCGGTCGGGAATCTCCGCGGGCGGCGCCGGATCCGGATCAGTACCCATCACAAGCCCGGGTGGCAAGCTCGGCGAGGACGGCGGCATCGCCAGGGGCGACGACGTCGTTGAGACCAGAATCGATGGCGGCCGACGCGGGGCCGGGTTCAGCAGCGAGCTCGGGCGGGGCGACGGCGGAGGCGCAGGTACAGACGTGTATGCATCAGCGGAGATGAGCGGTGGGGTCGGCAGCGCATCCGAGAGCGGAGAGCCGGGGACACCCCCAGGCGTAGTATTGTACGAGTGCCCGTGCGTATTGAACGAGTCCGCCGGCGTCTGCCCGCCCCTCAGCCGCTCGAGCAGCTGGAGCCCGGACGAGCCCGCCTCGGTCGGCCGCGCACGCGGCCGGGCAAGCGTATAGTGCGGGCTGGGCGTGCGCGCGTCCGCCGCGCGGTCGACGCGGTTCCCAATCATGCGCAGCTCGCTCCCGACGCGGCTGTCGTCGTTGCGCAGGCGGCGCCGGCCGCGGAAGATGAACCACAGGAGCACGACGGCGAGCACGAGCGCGGCGCCGCTGCCGACCGCCACGCCGACGATCGCGCCGGCGTTGTGTGCGAACGCGGCTCCGGTGGACCGCGTCGCTGCGGGGCCGATGGCGCCGGCGGAGGTGGAGAAGGCCGTGGAAACGGGCCCAGTGGATGTCAGGAGGACGGTGGAGATCAACACGGGCGCCGAGGAGGGCGACAGGGATGAGGAGGGCGAGATGGTGAGTGTAGACGTGAATGTGAAAGTCGTGGATGAGGCTACAGATGCGGACGGGCTGTTTGCAGCGGAGGAGCTAGCTCGCAGTCAGATTTTCGTCCTAGACACAAAAGGCATGGTCGACTTACCTAGTGCTCGACCGGACCACAACCGATCGCGACTGACTGACGCTGGACGCAGAACTGGACATAACTGAAGAAGCGCGTACAGAGCTCTTCGATTGCGATGCAGAGGAAGACGACAACAAGGAGCTCAGGGAGACTGCCGCCGACGCCGAGGAACTCCCAGAACGTAAGCTACCGCTTCTGGCCGAACCTGACCCAGAGGATGCGGAAGCTGAGGTAGCACGTGCAGAGGACGACTCGGGACGGGCGCTAAGCGACGTGGGCGAGGGCGTAGGCGCGGATAGCGCTGACGAGGACAACGATGATGAGGAAGAGGAGGCCAAAGTGGACGATGTCGATGCGGAAGACGCAGACAGTGTGGATCGATTCTGTCTGAACGGTGTGACCCAGGCGTCCACGCACAACGCAGGGAGCACACACCTGGCGATGAATCTATCCGCCTCTCTCAGACCGGATCCGGAAACGGATTCTCCGCGTTTTTCTTCAGAGCTTGGGTATGGTTGTGTGTCGTCACCGGGGGTCATGCACCTCGTGTCGAGCGTAACAAGTCGTGGGCGGAGGGAGAGGAGGGGGCAGGGAGGGAGGGAGGCACAGAAAGGACAGGAGGGGACCAGTGTGGGGCGCTCGCACGGGACGCAGCGACGGGGTATATGACCAGGCAACACACATCAGAACCGTAACGCGAAGACCAGAGATGATGACGATCGTTTTCGCAGCCGGGCTTGACGTGCGTGTGTGTGTGAAACTGAAAGGCGCGCCCGCCGTGCTTGTCACTAAGCTCCACGCACTGATCCGATCGCTGATCTCGGCTAGAGTCGACGGCTTTCCACACTGCTGCATACCACTGTATGCAGGTTGTAATTACTGCGTGTGTCTCATCTTAGCTCTCAGTCGACCACTTTTTCCATGCGGCAGATTTCTATTGCGCTGATCTTCTGCCCGCCACTTCTGTACAGCTTGGAAGCACTGCGTGAGATTTGTACGTGAGGGTCAGAAGGACACTTGAACTTGTGCCTCACGTGCAGTCGCCCTTGGGCAGTGAGTATCGGTGAACTCGCTGAGAAGTCTTGGCCCAAATACCAGCTTTCTGTAGCATGGTCTTGGGAAGGTCAAGACCTTTCGTTCAGCGGACAGCGAGTGAGCAAGGAAGTGCAAATTCTAAATCACATGTAAGAGAAATCACGTTCTTCGTTTGCGTTCATTTTTGGCCGTTCAGAATCTCCCTCCAGATCTTTTAGGCGCATCAAGAAGCTTGAGGAGCTATCCCGGCTCCCCACTCCCCACTCTCTGCACTGACACATGAAACAGATAATGAGGCGAGAGCCCCATGCAATGCTTATGTAGGATGTCAATAAATATCCGAGGCTCGGATACAACAAATCTTGATGCTCCTGAGTTGCAGAAAAATCTCCGCATGGACCGCGTTGAAATGTTTCCATAAGACACGTATATGTAGTATGGAATTACTGACGTCGTTGATGGGGTCTCTCGGTCTTCTCTTAGCAAAAGATGAATATTCCTCTGGTTGAGGGGAACTTTATCTCGGCCCGATCAAGCGACCATCTAATCTGTTCCTCGTCGATTTCAAATGGATGATGGAACCAGACGACCAATTGATGGCGGCAGAACCGTGACCCGCGCCCAAGCCGGCTTTCCGCACACAACCGGCGTTCTACCTAGCTTTCCCTCCTCCTCACCCCACCCCTCGAAACTTTTTCTTACCCAGAGATGCAGATGCACGAGTACCACTTTGACGGCGACAACGTCCTCAAGTCCGTGATACGGAACCCGGACGACCACTCGCGGCGCTACGGAATCAAGACGTACCACGACCTCGAGACGTGCATCGAAAACCGCGTCGGCACGATCTGCGCGGTGATCGACTGGCAGACCAAGTCGTTCAAGATCGGCGGAAAGCTGGCGTTCGTGAGCATGATGAAACGCAAGGGTGGGGCGTTTTCCAGGTGCGTTTCTGGTCTGTGTTTCAGACGGCAATCGGCGTGGGTGACTGAGGGAGGCCTGGACGCGCAGCGTAAGACACTGGCGGTGGCTAGACAGTCACGAGGAGTACGCGGTGCGGTACAGCAACTCCACGGAAACGTGGTCGGTGCGTGTTCTCCTCCCCCAGTGCTCATTTCAACTGAGTTCATTTTCACGTCTCTTTGTAGGTTGTGAACAGCGACAATACCACTCTGGCAGAGCTCCGATCCTGCATCGTATCGTTTTCAACTACCAAGTTCCCTGTGGTCCGCCTCAGCCCCCTCGTGCGGACCGAAGACGAGCGCCTGTTCCTCCTCCTCATTATGCTCTACTCCGAAGCGAGGCGTCTCGACAGAGAGGCTTGAATATCCACGCCTCTGCCTTGGAAGACACCTCATTCCATTCCCTTCGTAATATCTATTATGTTCTCTCTAGTAAGTCCATCCAAGCTTGGTCCTTTGCCGGGTTTCTCATGCTTCACTATTCGCAGATTGCGATAGCTCGCCTTGGGATACATATATTCATTCTAGATCACACTCTCCTTATATGTTCCCTTCTTTCGCTACATGGTTGCCTTCCAGTTCGAACTGTGTCGTGTCAGGATCGAGTGAGCGTCCAGTGTGTACGCGAGAGAGCGCCGCCCACCAATCTTCTCCTTCCACCAGAACACCGAGAGTCAGCTTCAATCTTTGACTGGTTAACCAGACTCATAAACTTAGCTGGACCAGAGAATTTGACTGCGTAAGAAACGAGATAATCGCGGCGGCCGGCCGGCTTTCGGTCGGCAATTGATGGCGGTTAAACCATGCCACGCCGCCCAGGCACTCTTTGTACACTCCGCCAACAGCGCCTAGCGGTGCCTGCTTACCCCTACTACGTCCTTCTCTCTCCCTCCTAAGTAGCTGCGGCACGCCCCCAATGCCGTCCAGCCCCGCTCCCTCAATGCTCGAGCTCAACTTCGACACGGAGGACGTGCTTAAATCTGTCGTGCGCAACGTCGGCGACAGCTCGCGGCGGTACGGGATCGAGACGTACCACGACATGGAGACGTGCGTCGAGAACCGCGTCGGGACGATATGCGCCGTGATCGACTGGACGCGCAAGTCGTTCAAGATTGGCGGCAAGATCGCAGAGGTCAGCAGGCTCAAGCGCAAGGCGGGAAGTTTCTCCAGGTACGTCTGCGCGAAGTTCTGGTCCCTCCAGCCAGTCCACTGATGCTGTGGTCCCCGCAGCACTCGTCTCTGGCGCTGGTCCGAAGGCGAAGAGTACACTGTGCGGTACTCTAACTCCGCCGAGACGTGGTCGGTGCGTGTTTCAGTCCACTCTCCACCCCCTCCTTCCTCCTTCCGTCCGCTCGGTCCAGGACTCACACACCAACTCCCGTAGATCACAACCGCGCAAAACGAGACCGTCGCCGAGCTGAGATCGTGCATCACGCCACTCTCGGGCCCCGTCGCGCTCCCGGTGCTCCGCATCAGCTCGCTTGTGCGCAGCGAAGACGAGCGGCTGTTTTTCCTGCTGCTGCTGCTATACTCTGAGACGAGGCGGCTAGATCGGGAGGCGTGAAACGCTGGAGCGTTGACTGAGGACTAATGCAGGCGCATATATCCCGCCGCGATTCATGGATTCAGCTCCAAGTCCGGTTACGGCGCAGTGCACACGTACTTCGCGCGCACTATTCCAGGACGCGCCCATTGTGATTCAGGGGTAGCTGAATATATTATGTATTTGATCAGGTGCTTCTTTTGATGCCGGGAATCAATCGAGATTTCAAATTGAACAACCTTCCATCCGGTTCGGTACGGACGACAAACTCCTTTTTTTGATTCTGCGTAAAAGGACTGGAGAGACATCAAACTTGAGAGATATCAAGCAGACAGAGAAGTTTCTTCAGCCCCATGTCCTCTAACAAATATCGAAAATTCGAACCAATGATTAGGAGGTCCTATCTGCGAAATACAGCGGTACCATCTGTCCATAAAGCTTGAAGCCGGCCGAGCATCAGTTGCAGCGGAGTCTCCCAACTTGACAAGTTCCGAGTTCGAGCAATTCCGTGAATCAGAATGACCGGGCGATCCAACCTCCACGTGCAACTGTGCAGAAACTGATGCCATACGGGATTCTCATTTCTAGTGTTCAACCGGGTCACGCACGTACAAATACATTCGATCATTGTAGCACAAATCACCTCACGCCCCCAAGGTCGTGCTTTTCGTCGCATTCTCCCCCATACCACTCTCCTTGAGCCCGCCGCCGGTCCCATTCATCGCCACGCCCGTCGCATTCCGCGCGATCTCCAGCAGCCTGCTCCACTCGAGCAGCACCGCGGCGAAGTAGCAGTCGTTCTGCGCATCGGTCATAACCCGTTCAGCGAAGACCTGGCCGTTCGCCTGGATCGCCCTCGCCTCGGCGTCGTGCGTCTGGGCCCACGCGATCTTGTCCACGAGGTCGGAGAGGTCGGGCCGCACCGGGATGTAGTGCTCGTAAGGCCGCAGCCAGCCGGAGAAGTACTCCTCGAACGCGGTGGACTGGGCGCGCACATCTGGTTCAGAGGGCGTGACAGTGTCTGGGAACGAGCGGACGTACCTTGAAAACTAAGCTCCCGCTCCGCAACAGTCCGAGATACCTCCCGCTGTAGCTGTTCCCATCGACGTCGAGGGCGTACTTGTGCCGGTACACATCCTCACGCGGCGCGCGGGGCCCGTGGATGTCATACTTGGAGACAATCGCATCTCGGTTGCAACTGCGGGCTGCGCACTGCGCGTCGACGAACGCAGTGAGCTTCGCGTCGATGAGGTGCGAGTTGTTTTCCGTGCGCGCGATGTCGATCAGCCGGAAACGCGGGAATGACTGGTAGTTGGTGCCGTAGATGTGTCCTCCGGTGGAGCTGCCGCGCCAGTCTGTTTGAGAAGAGTGAGTTCTCAATTCAGTGCGTGAAGGTAAAAATACGCACAGATCCTGGACTCCTTGTTGACCCAGGAGATGTTGTTTGAATGACTGTAATTACCGGCCCACCGCGACCGCGTGTAGTAGTAAATTCCAGGGAATAGAATGTCAGAGAAACACGGCGAAATCTTGCCCACACTCAGGACTGGCCATAAATCAGTTGTGAAGTCGGAGCTCGTGCTCGAGCGCAAGACTGCGCGAGCGTCAATCAGCGAACCCAATGTAAACAAAATTTTGAGATGAAACTCACATGCCACGCTATCGACCGGATCGCTCACGAAGCCCGTCGGTGTTTTCAAGACTTGGCACCCGGGCTGCGTGCGGAAAAATTCGGACGTGGGCACCGGTGCGATGCGGAACGGTAGCGGGTCTTTCATACGCATGGCGTTCTGCTGTGCGCCCAGCTCCTGGACGTCGAACACGACCCTCGGCTCGTCACGGCTGTTGAGGAGGAACTCCATATCTGGGAGCACATGCGCGAACTGTGTCGCGGGCAGCGGTGAGCCTGAGCCGACGATACGGGTGGCACGAGACCTACCTTGTCTACTATTCCCTTCAGCTCCGCACTAAATCCGGTCCCGCTGTAGTTGGGTATCACCACCTCCCTCCGATCGATCTTGACCGTGACCATCCCGCGTGCATCCTGCCGCGTCTGCGACGCAAAGTGAGACACCCGCTTCACACACCATCCGTACTGGACTCACCAGTTCCCGGCCCCGTTCCACAAGTCGCGCAAACCTCCCCGGATCCGCTGCAGCCAGCTGATAAAACGGCTCAAAGTCCTTGTACACCTGCTCGTATTCGTCCACCAAACATTTCTCTGACTGCGTCTGCGTGAGATTCCACCACCGCTCGTACCCCGCGGGAGGCGCGCGTCCCGTTTTCAGTGCGTGGCGCGCCGCGGCCTGGCTGAGCGTCGTCGACTGCCGGGAGAAGAGGATGTCGACTTGCTGGTGCGCCGTCGCGAGCTCTGGTGTCAGCGCCGTCGCGGTGACAGGCGAGAGTGGTTCGAGCGGGGGCAGTAGCACTTCTGTGTCTTGCACTGCCGCACTGGTACAATTCCCGGCCCCGGCGTGGTGGTGCGGATGCTTGGCTGGGAGGTACACCGCACCGGAGAACATGCCGAGGAGCGTGAGAGCGCCGACGAAGGGCAGCCAATAGCGACACGGGGTGCGCTGGTGCCGGTCGGTCGGCGCGGAGAGCAGCGCCTTGGGGAAGTGGTGCGGAAGCAGTTGTTCGGTCACTAAACACTACTCACCCACCTCTGTCGCGACATCAGATCTGCGCTGATGGCGGTCTAGACCGCACTACGTCATTGATTTGTGTAGATAAGAGATTGTAGATTATTGGATTGTTGATGCGCGCATCGTGAAAACGGCGGGAGCACGTGCTCCGCCCTCTCGCGTCTTCCAGCCTTCTCATTTACGCGTCAAACAACAGAAAATGAGCGCGCAAAGATGCACCAAGTGCAAACACACGTTTCCAAGAACTTCAAAGCACTGGGGAGCCCAATTTGGAGCCGGAGGCGTTGTGATCAATACTCGTTGTCGGTCCTGTTGCGAGAAGGATGCAAGGCGGGCGGCGGAGAAGCGAGGCACCGCCAAAGCCGCGGACAGTGAGAATGACAACACAGAAGACGCGTCAGACTTCATCAGTGAGCGCTTCTCGTGTCACCGGACACAAGATCTTACCTCATTGACAGATGTAGAAGCCATTCCTCTGGTGGCATTTCTCGACGCGCTTTCCAATGGCACTACGGACGTACATCACCTTTGCGCTCTTGTCAATGTTTCCTCCGTAGTCGACAGTCCGGACTTGCGCGAAGCAAAAGATGGGGAGTTGGCATTCAAGCCTGTAGTAGATCAAATTGCGGCCTATGTGTGGGAAAGAACAGATTATCGCTTCACGTGAGTATGTCTTATTATAGCGCGTAGAGGAGGTCTTATTTCCGTTTAGATATCTGAGATCAACAACTACTAAAGACCGTCAAACAACACGCTTTATATACCACTGTGCACAGCTTGCATCTCGTCAGCATAAGCCGAAGAAGATCGGTGATATGAAGAAGCAACGGGACAAGGGCCAGATGGACACCTTCGACTGTGAGGGCTATCTAACGATCTGGGCTGCAGAAAATCAAGATCAATATTTCATTCGCTACGCCCACAATGATCTGCACCTGAAGTACAAGTGCATTGATCTTCCGGAAGATGTTAAGCAGCTCGTAGATGGTAACTTGGAGCTCCGAGTCACCGAGGTGCGTTCCTTTATCTATTCCCATGCAAGCTTCTCATTTCGTACCAGATCTGGAAGAAGATTCTTGCTGTCTATCCACAACCGATGTTCACTCGACAGCAGATTTATAATCGTTGGTTACTGAAGACCAATTCGAAGTGGCGATTGGATGACAACGAGGTTAAATCAGCCAAGATGTTGCTCGAAGCGCTGCGTAATTCAAAAGAGGGCTATGTCGAACCCATTGTCTTTCCCGAAGACAACGATGGATACACCGCATTTGGCTTTGCATTGCCATCACTTATTCGCCGGTGGGGTGGTGCAATTGTTGAGGTCGCACTCGACTCGACCTGTAAGTGCCGGATCAATTTTGCCAAGCAAGTTTCATTTTACTCTGGCAGTTAAAACAAACAAGGCAGGCTATGAGTGCTTTGCGCTACTGGGAGAAGTCTATGGATCGGGTCTCCCACTCGGGTTTCTCCTGATTCAATCAAACAATCCTAGCCCCGGTGAAAAGGAGAAATATATTCGCTCTCTCATCCGGGACATCACATCGAAGTGGAAGATTACTCCCATCCAATCCCTCAGCGATAAAGACATCACCGAGATCAATGCGTTTCTTGCTGAACTGCCTGACGACATCAAGCATCAGCTTTGCTTCTGGCATGGGATCAGGGCCGTCCGCGGTCGTTTGTCCGTAATCGGGCGCCCACCGGCATTCTATCATGCTGAAGAAGCATTTCAAGAATTCGACTTCATCGACAGAGACTTTGTGCCTCTTGCTCAGATGGATCCAGCTAAGCGGACCCCTGTATGCATTCTCTTATTAAATTGAATATGTGCTTTCTAACCTGCCCTTAGGAGAATCTTCAGGTCGCTCAAGTCATGCTGCCGATGTTGAAGGTCCGCCTGAATGGATCCGCTATCTCCACGGCTCCCAAACTACCGAAAATAGTCATCCAAGTTGACGGAAAGCTCCGCGAGTTTCTCGGCAGCCTGGACAGCCTGGAAGAATCGGATATCGTGGATGTCGTAGACGAAGAAGAGGAGTATGCTGAGCATCTCATTCGAGAGAATGCTCACATGGTCAATCAAGCAGAAGCAGAGCCGTCCTGGATAGAGCCCGGCGAGAAACCAATCGGAACCAGCTTCCGTGTCAGCGACGACTACGAGTTCTGCCGTCCGCCGCACCGATCGCAGCTCCTCCATACTTTCATCCGACATGGCTGCCTGCATCCTCTGCTACCGGAACGTCACGGAGAACGACGCAACAAAGATCAAATCCGACGCGACTGTGTCTTCGAGATGTACACTTTCTGCAAGCAGCGCGGTCTACGCGAAGTTTGGGGCTATATGTGGGAAGCGTGGTATTGTCCAGCAAAATGGAGGCTTTGGGCACGTTCGAGCCAGCCGAATTTCATTGGTCGCTGGCGTACCACAATGTCCGTGGAGAATTTCTGGAAGAACTTGAAGCACGGAACTCTACACCATTTCCTCCATCCTCGGCTGGATCAACTCGTTTATCTTATTGTGACCGATGTCGTTCCAACTTTCGAAGCAAGTATGCTCAAATTCGATCCAAATTGGCGACTCGGCCGATCGAAGAAGCTTGCACCGTGGCAGTCCGC